AATAAAGACTATTCATGAGTGGGAGAGAATGAGTATAGGAGTACCTTTACAGAGAAAAGGAAATATGTAGTCCTCCAGGACTCTGGGGAATGGTGAGATAAGTGTTACTGCAGACGTGTTTAAGGTGAAAAAGAGGTTAAATAAAGAATTACCTGAATCAGACCTGATTTACTGAGTAAAGACTGGAGAATAAACAGAGTTGAGAAGGTTGGAATACTTATCGAGTGGTGTGCTCTTAAGAGAACAGGTGTGAGGCTCCTATTTTAGTTTGATTGAGTGAAATTACAATGATTTTGGTGCTATGGATTAATTTGCTAGTACCTTCTGGTATATAGCAGTAGGGGTTAGTAGAAATGATACAGGGACTGGTTTAAGTTAGTCAGTGTGATCATACTGATGAGTGAATGTATTATATAGGGGTGAGTGGAGCATTGATCTAAGGTAGAGTATCATGAATGTACTGTGAACACTGTGTTAAGAAGGGGGACCTGAATTCTTATTCCAGCTGTGCTCTAAACTTCTTGTGTAACTTTGAGCACAGTTTTGCCTTCCTCCTGAATTAGAAAGGGGTTGAACTTCATCAATTCTAAAGCCCTTTTCAATTTTCAAATGATGAGAGTATATGAAATAGAGTTGAGCAATTAAAGGGTTCAGGTAAAAGTGGGTGATGAAGAAGAAGCAAGAAAAGGTATGGAGCTTGTAATAAGTTTTACCTCCTAACTTTATAATAACACTATATAACATAATATGTCTGTATAGTCATGTGCCGCATAACAGTTTTTCAGTCAACGACAGACTGTGTATGTGATGGTGGTCCCATGAGATTAGTACCATATAGCCTAGGTGTGTAGTAGGCTATACCATCTAGGTTTGTGTAAGTACATTCTATGACGTTCGCACAACAAAATCACCTAATGGTTTCTCAGAATGTATCCCTGTTATTAAGTGATGCATGACTGTAATTGTATTTGTAGAGCCTCTTGTTTTCAATATTCATTCAGAAATTGATCTCATGTTATATTTATAAAAATATAAGTTGGGGGGCTGGCCCAGTGGCGTAGCGGTTAAGTTCGCACACTCTGCTTTGGTGGCCCAGGGTTCACCCATTCGGATCCTGGGCACGGACCTATGCACTGCTCAGCAAGCCATGCTGAGGCGGCATCCCACATAGAGCAACTAGAATGATGTACAACTATGACATACAGCTATCTACTGGGGCTTTGGGAAGAAAAAAAGAAGAAAGTTGGCAACAGATGTTAGCTCAGGGCCAATCTTCCTCAAAAAAAAGTGCTTTATTAAAAAAAAAAAAATATATATATAAGTTGGTAGAGATATAAATTAGTATCCTCATTTATAGACGAGCTTCTAGAGTAAAGAACATTACATTTCAAGTCTGGCTGTGCCTCTAAGAATGACATTGGCAAGCCAGACTTTTTAGCCCTATTTTCTCATCTGTAAAAGGAGAAGGATTGGCTTTTGTATAAGACTACCTGAATTTTACTTTTAGACAGGTTTCTAGATCAGAGAAATATGGTAGTTGTTACATATCTGCATTTTATCAAGACGTTTGACATAATCTTTTAGATTATCCTTTGTAGACAAGAAATAGTAAATGGGTGGCAGCACTCTGGTGAATTTGTAACTTGGAAATTATCTGATAAGATGACACAGGAGTCTATCCTCAATATAGTCTTTTTCGCCATTTTTAGCAATGACTTGGGTAAAGATATTGACGGCTTGCTGATCGAATAGCCAGTATGTTAGATAACAGAATCAGAATCAAAGACGATCTCAGCAGGCCTCAACTAAGAGCCACATATGACAAGCTGAAACGCCATGGATTCCTCTAGTGCACTCTGGTCAGGCCAGCAAGCACACTGCACAAGGATGGGAGGCAGGCTTCCTTCAGACCTTGTCCCCGTTACGTTCTGTGTGACATATGGCCCCACATTCAACAAGTATAGAAGAACATTGTGAATTCCCTCTTTCTCCCCCAGTCATGCCGCTTCGTTCTACAAAGGCAAACAAAATTATTAGGTTTTTAAAGTGTATCCTTCCAGAGAAATTGTATGCCAGTGTAAGAAAATAGTGAGTGCATATATTTTCTCCCCCTTACCCATTTTTGTAAAAATGGGAGTATATTATTCACAACTGTTTTGTACCTTGGTTTTTTTCTTATCTTGATGAGTTTATGTTTGAGGTTTTCCTATATCGGTATGATAATTTTCTTTTAAGTGGTTGCACAGTATTACTTTGTAGGGATGTATCATAGTTGAGTTAACCAGTCCTTTACTGATAGACATTTTGGCACTTTTCAGCCTTTAACTATTACAAGCAATGCTGTGGTAGTAACTGTACAGTAGTTTTATCTGTGGGATAAAATCTTAGAAGTGGCATTGCTAGGTCAAAAGGGAATTCTACTTTCTAGTGTCAGTATTGTCATCCCTGCTGTCTTGTTTCATGTAATCTTAGAAAAAACAGAATTTTATAGCTGGAAAGTGATTTAGGTACCATCAGGTTTAGTAGTTCTCAAAGTGTGGTCCTTGGGCTAAGAGTAGCAGCAGCATCAATTGGGAACTTGGTACAAATGCGGATTCTCGAAGCCCACTCTGGACCTCCTGAATCAGAACTTCTGGGAGTTCCAGCAGTTTGTGCTCACAGCTGATTTTACATATGAGGAAACTGTGATCAGAAAGGTGAAGTAACTTACCTTTACCTTTCATCAGAAGGGTGAAGTAATTTACAAAATTATATAGTTACTGGTGGCCTCTGTTATATTTCCACCATATTTTTATGTTGTTTTAATCATCTTTTTTGAAAAGACATTTTGTTTTTAAAGTTATCAATATAAAAAAATAGGTCATTGATTCAATTCCTACGTTTTTCATTTGTGCTTCTCCTCTGTGACTTTTGGGACATAGCAAATTTGAATGAATACTCTTTGAAGTTTTCATCATTTGCTTTAGATTCAGTTGACTTTTTAAAACCAAAAGGCTCCCTGTTATTTTTCACACACAAGGGTTTTTGTTGTCTCAAGGGGTGACCTCTGACTTCTTTTTCAGACTCCTTTCCCATCATGTCATATCTTTCCTCCCTTTGGTGTTTCCAGGCTATATCCTGTTCTTAGCTACATCTCCTCCTTGCCTCATACTCTCTCTTTTACTTTTTCTTTTCTCTCTACTTCTGAAACCCTGTTTTCATTTGTTCTTGTCTTCTTGAAGAATCTGGATCTTCCAAATTGAAAAAATCAGTACACTTTAGCTTTCTTGTGGCATTTTGTTTTTATTTCTATTTCTGTATTTGTGTCTGGCTTTATTTTATTGATGTGCATTCATACCAATCTTTTGTTAGCTCATATGCTTCTTGAGGGCAAGGATCATGTTTTATTCATTGTTACTTCAGGGTCCTTGCACCATTCTTTGCACTTACTAGTTGATAGATAAATGTTGGTTGCATTTGTTCTCATGTACAGTTGGGAATCTTAGTGGAATAGAGGATATATTCTGTGCTGTACTAAATATCTATAACTCTAACCAGTTGCTTTATAAATAGGCTCTTGACTATGTGGAGTGCTGAAACCCCACCACTGAATTTTGCAGATGGAAAATTAACCAGTTCACAATCAGTAAACCTATATTTTGGTCCTCTTATGTGCCAGGCATATTGTTGTGTGTCGAGGATGACTATATGTTTCTAGTGTCATTTTTATAAAGGATGGCACATTTTTACTATTGATACTGTTTTATACCTGTATGCATTTACATTATATGCATTGTTTCTTCTTTGTGAAGTTGAAACTTAGAAGTTTGGTGTCAGGGGATGTTTAAATTTTTCAAAATTCTTAGAAAATTTTAGTTACTATCTTAGGTACACTCTGTTGTGCTAAATACCCAAATATCAAAACTGGGTGTTTCCTATTGATGAAATGTCACATTTTAGTAAAACACAAAATTTTCTCAGGTTATCTCAACATACTTGTCAAGGAAGAATATATATGCTTCACTGTGTGATAGAGTAAAAATTTTATCATTTTTATTTCAATTTTTCCTTAAAGCATTATATTTTTATACTTAAACAAAATTTAATTTTTTGAGTAGCACTCAAAATATACTTTAGAATACTTTAGAGAATTTTTGAAAAGAAGCAGATCTTGGAGATGATTTTTTAAATGGTGGTTGTCTGACCTACAGTGATTTTGGTTCATCAGGCAAATGTTCTTGTGAGCTGTCTTGAGAAATGGAGATGTTTTGGCTGGCTTAGGGCCAAAATTAAGAACTTTGAAAGAATGTGCCACTGTAGTAATTTTGAAATTATTTTTCTCAAAGACACGTCATTTTTATCAATTTTTAGCTAATTGTGTGGAAAATGGAGAAGTGGAATGCTTTAATAAAAGTTTGTGATCAGAAGTAAATTGTAAAAATTAAATGTAATAGATTAGCAGCCATTTAGAGACTTGTATTACCTTAACAGTTGTATGTTGGGAATTTACATACAGCAGTGTCCTTAATTGCTATTTTTAGATCAACAATTTTAACCTTATTGTAATCTTGTAAGCTTGTAAATTTGATGTTACTGTTATGTCATACAAAACATAAACCAAAGTATTTTGTCATTGTTTCTAGAATCAGTTAAAAGCCAGTTCAGATACTAGTACATGAGAAGGTAGAAAAATGTTCTGGTTCTTTTTCTGTCCTTAGGAGTTTATAGTCAGCATAAGAGACTTTATGCAAATGAAACAGGAAGCATTCTGCACAATAGCCTTCAGAATTTTACAATGCAACATAACTAATTTTTCAGATTTATCTGGAAGATTTAATTTAGTTTGTCAACAAGTTATTGTTATATTATTTGCCCACGATCGGTTTATACTATTAATATCATCAGAGGCAAGCTTTGCTGGATGGTCATAAAGTAAACCTGTTTCCCATCTGTAGTTCTTGTGCCTAGTACCCATTTCCTACCGAAATGTAGAGTTGAGTTTCTCATTGTTTCTTTTTTAGTGAGCATTTGTCCTGTGCTTTCACCTTCTTTCTTCATGGGGAAAGTAATGTATGCACAAGTGTGGAGATTGCCCAACACCAGCCAATTTATTTGATCAATGAGGAACATATACACATGGCCCAGTCTTCACCTGCACCATTTCAAGGTAAGTAAACGGCGATGTCCCTGCCGTCCACCTTTCACCCACCAAGAGGACAGCCACCTTGCCTAGTAAGGTTTTACAGAATGAGATATTATCTTAAATGGACATTTTAAAGCTAAACTTAAGGGTCAATTTCTGAAGAAGAAATGAAAGACCACCATTTTACAATTAAGTAGTAATAGCTTGCTAGTTTTTTGCCTAAAGCTTATCACGTATACAACATGGTCTTATGTGAAGTTGTATTGAGGAATAAAATGTAGAGAATTTCCTTCAGAACAAAAGAAGATCAATAAGTATTTGAAAAATAGAATCCAATGAGTCATTGAGAAGTCTTATAAATTAAAGATTTTCATTGTTTTGTTCGTTCTATGGTTTCAAGAATATAATGACTTATAGAAAATTACTGTTACACAGTATTTGACATTTCAAGCAAAATCAAATTTCTAGAGTTGTGTAGAATATAGTTTCTTCAGTGATGTTAATATCTTTATTATTTTCTTTGAATTACAAACTACATTGGTTGTAGATATTTGGTTGTAATTTAACTTACGTTCATATTTTTATTAATTCTCAGCTTATCACCTAGATATCGCCAAAATAACTCTATGTCCCTTCTCTCTAATTGTGCATCCTAAAGCTTTGGTTTTTGTCTTTGGAATTCAGAATTTTCTATGAATAACTGTTTTTTGTTTTGTTGTGTTTTTTTTTTTTTTTTGAGGAAGATTGGCCCTGAGCTTACATCTGTTGCCAATCTTCCTCCTTTTTTCCTTTTTTCTTCCCAAAGCCCCAGTAGATAGTGGTATGTCATAGTTGTACATCTTTCTAGTTGCTTTCCGTGGGACACTGCCTCAGCATGGCTTGATGAGCGGTGCGTAGGTCCGCGTCCAGGGTCTGAACTGGCAAACCCCAGGCCACCGAAGTAGAGCCCCTGAACTTAACTGCTACACCACGGGGCCGGCCCCTATGAATAACTGTTTTTAAATGTTATAATATTAGATTGAACCATATGGAAAAATCTTTTTTGGTTCAGGCTAATTTATCATTACTAGAGATGTCTCATTGAAATAGTCTTAGTATATCACACATTGTAGTTTTAAAAAACACTGATATTTTAACAGACTTAAGTATTTTTATTGATATAACAGCCTATCATATGAGTGTTTAGCTTCCGTATTATTTATGATTGCTTTTTGGTTTTCTGGGAATGATTCTGATTTAATTTGATGAAAACATCTGTTTCTTGCCCTAGAGATAATTAAGCTTTTTTTTTAAGGTAAAAAAAGAACATTGAATCATCACTTAACTGTGTCCTAATTATCACTTACATTTTTCCCCCTCTTACAACACATTTTACGCTATATACTTTATCATCTGTAATTTGGGGTGTTTTACGCACAAACTGCTATAAAATTCAAAACAACCCAATTCTCAAAGTGTACGCTTAAGAATTGTACCATATATGCATATTATGGATTGCCAGAATTATTTAAATACTATGTTTCCTTGACTGTGAAGGTGCTGAGGGCCATCTCACTTCATTGTAGACTTTTATCACTCAAAATAAAAGCATTTATTTATGATAACAACAGAAGGAATTATTATTAGTCATGAGGGAACTAACCTTCTAAGTTGGGAAAGATAATATTAGCAATACCAGGTCCCTGTAGGCCACTTATTTTAAATCTTACTAGTTTGTTACTAATGCCTCCAATTATAGAAGATGTTTGTGGGACGTTATCCTGTTTCTTTCTTTCCCATGATTGGTGTGGAGGAGGTACATTCTTAGGGCAGCTGTTGGCCTATTGATGATTATAGTGAACATAAGCAAGCATATTGATGTGGGAATTTCCTAGAAGTGTTAATACAGGAAAATTGCCCTTGATTGACTGTGTTGATTGGAGTCAGTATTTTTATCCCTTTTGGATCAGTGAGGAGCAGCAGAAAGGCACCAAGAAATATGTGTTGCCTATAGCTATCTCTGTCTTGATTAATGTGAATATCACCCAGCTGTTAAAAAAAAAAAAGACATCAAAAAAAAGGACATCTCATTTAATGACTTTGCTGAGATATTTTAAAAATAGGATTGGCCCAGCCCCCAGTGGCCTAAGTGGTTAAGTTCGGCATGCTACACTTTGGCAGCCCAGGTTCGATTCCTGGGTGCAGACCTACACCACTCATCTGGCAGTGGCTGTGCTGTGGTCGTGCCTCACATACAAAAAAGAGGAAGATTGGCAGTGGGTGTTAGCTCAGGGTGAATCTTCCTCAGCAAAAAATAAAAACAAAAGTTAGGATTAAGAAGAAGTGACCTTTATCCCCAGAAGAGTATTATTCAGAAGGTTGAAATACTCACCCCCAGGCTAAGAACTGACTGGGTTATACTACATTCTTGTGTCTAGCTCAGTGAAAATGACATCAAGGTCAAATACTGAAAGAGAAAGATAGAGGGACATTGAGTCCTTTACTTTGAGTAAAATAAATTTTATTTAGAGTTGTTTCATGAAGAGACCTTCAAAACAGTCATAAATGAAATTATAACTAAGCATTATATTTCAGACTTGGTACATTAAGACTTTTCTGCTGTTAGAAGTTTTATTTACATATTATGTTTTAATTACCACAGATATTTGGGGAGTCTCAGGAACCATAGGAAAAGTGTTCAAGTTCTAGGCAGGTTTGGGGGTCTATGTATTGAATAGTTTTCTTCTGTTATGGAAGATTCAGTGTTCACGTTGTATGAACTATTATCAAGCAGATGTGTATATGCTTTAATATATAGATAAGTTATATATTGTGTATTAATATAGTTGTCTGATAATGTTATACCTCCCCTATTTGATTTCCTTCCAAAATTGATGTGAGTTGAGAAGCATATAAATAAGAAATACTAAAATGAGAAACTTAAAACTCATAGTTTAAGAGGAATTAGGAAATAAAGAGCAATATACATTAAGTGATGCTATGCTTTACCCTAAAATTACCAGATGTAGCATTACACTTAAGTAGGAATTATTACTCTGATCTGTCACATATGTTTCTTTTCCCTGCCTTTAGTACTGGTAAGTCCTTATGGCTTAAATGGCACGCTAACAGGCCAAGCATACAAGATGTCAGACCCAGCCACCCGTAAGTTGATTGAGGAATGGCAGTATTTCTATCCAATGGTGCTGAAAAAGAAAGAAGAATTGAAAGAGGAAGAGGAGTTGGGATATGATGATGATTTCCCTGTGGCAGTTGAAGTAATTGTTGGTAAGAGAAAATATTCTGCCTGAAGAACTTTATTCTATCCTCTTCATCTTCCTTAATTTAAAAAGATAATCATTCAGATTCATCAAAAATAATCTCCATAATTTTCCCATCTTTTTTTATTCTCTTGATACAGTGGTGTATGCTGAGTAGTTATCTTGCCTGAAGCACCAATGGTCCCTGTATTCCAAATGCGATTATCATAATGTTGGAACACATGTTTAAACAGCTATTAACTTATGAAAGAATGGAACATATCACTTTTGGCAGTATCTAATGAGCATCTCATTTTCACCATTGAGCTTTGACTCTGACCACTGGAATAATAAAGTTGGCAGTCTAGTGTGAACTTTTTCTCAGGCCTGGTTCTCTCCTTGCTGTCTTTTCTTACAGGTGGTGTTCGCATGGTTTATCCATCAGCTTTTGTTTTGATCTCTCAGAATGACATCCCAGTTCCTCAGAGTGTTGCCAGTGCTGGAGGCCACATTACAGTTGGGCAGCAGGGACTTGGTAGTGTGAAGGACCCAAGTAACTGTGGGATGCCTCTCACCCCTCCCACCTCTCCAGAACAGGCTGTCATAGGTGAGTACAGTCCAGGAACCTCCTGGGTGGAAGAGATCCCAGAAAAGCATGTAGTTCCCTTGCCACAGAGCAGGTGAGAAAACCCACCTTGAAAAATTCCTGGTGGAAGAGATTGAGATAGAGTAACATGAGACTTTTACAAAATGGAGAATGAAAATTTTAAACAAAATTTATATGTTTCAGAGTTTTAATTGTGCCCATATCAGTCTTTACTCCAATTAAACAATTTAGCTATTTCTCTTAAGTTCTGCCCCTTAATAGGTGCATATGTGTGCACGTGCACACGCGCACACACACACAGTTGGGAGACAAGATGTACGTTGCCTTTTCTTGTAACGAACACGAAACGTTAAGTCAGAGAATGGCTGAAGCCTTTGCCCGGTTGCCTGTTGCCAGCCAGGGACAGGTCCTGGGTAGTTCTTTCCCTACTACAACGTTGAACTAGCGTCCAGGGACCCAGAGTAAATGCTTCGTCCTATCAGTAATCTGTCTACGCTAATGGAAAATATTAATTACGTGTGAAAACTTTGACAATTTAGACAGTCTTTCTTCACAGAAAAATTCAAAAATTGTTCAAATCAGAGGTTCTGCCTTCTTTGTTGAGTAGTATATTTCCTATATTAACTTTTTTGTTGTTGTAGTTGACTTCATTGTAATTGGAAATCTAGTCATTAAGGAAAAGATATTCATCATACTTGAGCTGAAATGAGATTATTTATAGGCATTTAATGTGGGCCATGTTGGCAGGAGCATCAGAGTAAATAAAATCTTGGCTGCTAGACTTTGAAAGCAGACTATCAAGCATGGTATGCACTTACATGGTGATTTTTGTGAGGATTAGGTAAGACATTATATCAGAGTTTCTAGCATAGTGCTTGGCATGTAGTAGGCATTCAATAAATGTTCATGATTAGACAGTATATTGGGGAAAAGCATAGGCTTTGTGATTGAACACACCTAATTTTAAAACCTGGCTATAGCTTTTACTAGATGTATGGCCTTATTTAACCCTCATACTTGTTCTGTACCTCAGTTTCCTTCTCTGTTAAGTACTACGTACTTTACAGGGTTGTTGTACGTGTTAGGTAATCTACTTGACATTCTGTAAGCAGTAAAGCAATATACAAATGGTAGTGTAAAAAATTTAGAGCAGTACTCAAAACTCCAGTTTCAGCACATATTATTAAATTATGTGGAAGGAATTGCTCAGTGTGTGGGAGACATAGAAATGGACAACACATAGCCTCTGTTTTTAAGACCCATGTAGTTGCTAAGATGGTGAAAAGATGTACATCCAGCTCTAATATGGTGGAGTGAAGAATTTGGATGGTCCCTTGTTGAAAGGATTTGCCATCAACTAAGTTTTATTAAAACTACTTTAAACTGAAGAAGAAAAAAAAAACACTTTTATAGTCTCTTATAATAATCAGCAGAGAGAAGATGTATTAATATAAAGATTAGAATTATCAGTATTTTGGAAAGTTTTAATCACATTTCATGTCAAGGTTTGGATTTTTATCAATTATACTGCATAATTTGTCATCAGTTTTTGTTTATCTGTTCATTTTTGTTTTGTTTTACTTAGTGAAATTTGTATTCAACTTAAAATTGAAGGCCTGCTGTGTGCATGATGGCTTAACAGAGCTCTGATCAGTTCAGAACTCTAAATTTCATAATTCAAAAACAAGAGGTTTTGTTTATGGTGGGTTTCATTGTGGACTTCATAACCATGGATCTTCTAATTCCTTCCCCTGTAACTCTATGTATATCATTGTGCTAGTCCCTGGGTGAATAAATCCCCTGATACCTCCTCACTCCCTAAAACAAACAAAAAAACTAAAAAGCAACTGGCATCTTTGTCATAAAGTGTATTTGTCCAAATTTTCATATCATGATATGTTGAATTACAGCTTAGGATGCTTCATGCTCCATCAGAGAGAATCCTGCTCAGCCTTGTCATTCTGCAGTTGACTAACATTGAGCATTGCCGTGTTTTCCTAGATATAGGACAGAGTGGGTTACTTTGCCCCCTAAAATGGCCAAGAGTCTCCTAGAGTAGCAGGGGACCTAGGAGGGCCAGTTACATCTGGTGAAATCACTCATGCCTCATGTGGATAGGTACATCAGCTTGCCTCTTCTCTTTGTGGAGATAATTGGGAGAAACAACATTCAGTATGCATTTAACAGCATGGAGTACAAGTCATATTTAATTCCATGTAAGATATTACCCATATTTTAGTTAAATCATTAAAAGCTATTGAAGAGCATTAAGCTGACGTTAACCAGAAAAGACTCTGTGGCTTGTTTTCTCCACCTCTCATCTTTTTTGGTCATAAATTATTCCCTTATGATATCATGAACATAGGATCTCTTTAGATATATATATTGTAAGGTGTTTGGGGTGAAAGGCTGTGTTATTTATGTCTGTTCATTTCTTTACTTTGCTTAATTTTATAATAGACATCTAAAATCCATTGTAAAACCGACATGAGGTGTTTTTTTTTTTTTTTTTTTTTTGCTGAGGAAGATTAGCCCTGAGCTAACATGTGTGCCAATTCTCCTCTGCTTTTTCTGTGGGTCGCTGCCACAGCATGGCTGACAAGTGGTGTAGGTCTGTGCCTGGGATCCAAACCCGCAAACCCGGGCCGCGCAAGCAAAGCGTGCCGAACTTAACCACTACGCCATGGGGCCAGCCATGAACCAAGTCAGAGAACTTTTAAGATAAAAGGTAGCAATGAAAGACCAAATTTCTTGTCTCCTTTAATTTATCTCGTTTGTAATATAACAGTACTTTTCTGGGGGGCAAGAAAGCTTCAGTTCCTTAGGATGTAAGCATGTGGGGTTGGTTTTTTTTTTCTTTTCTTTTTTTTTAAAAAAATAGAGCTAAGTCTAGCCATTCAACCCATATGTTGTGTTGCATTGATACCAAGAACATTAGTTTGTGATATAAGGTTGCTTCTTTATTTTTCAGTTGAGAGTGGAGGCTTCCAGAGTACTTTAAATTGATTATTTAGGTCAAGATGTTTTGCATCATAGTTCTATTGAGAATAAAAACCCACAATATATTTATGAAATCAAATAGATGAAAGTAATTGAATCAGAATTTAATACTGGAAAGTGACCTCAGTATTTGTCTTGTATGAAATAGAAGTAGTAAAATACTCATAATATAACCAATAACCAGTATTATCAGCAATTGTAGTGGGCATAATAGAAGGAAGTGGATCACATACCAACTGTAGTTGGGAAAACAAAGTGGAGTTATTAGAGAGAAACCAGTGACTTTTTAATCCTCAGATATAAAATGTCAAGACAACCTCTTTCAGTGTTTTAGTACTAAGCTTTCATAAATAGTGTCAGGCATAAGGACAAACAGTTCCACACACAAATTTGAAATCTGACCTTGTTAAAAGCTTTGTGCCATTAAGTTCTTATTCCTACCCACGGCACTGTGTGCAGTTGTTACACAACTGTGTAGTTAAATGAGCATAAAGCTCCCTCTACTGTTTTGTTCTGCCTTGAAACTTATTTATTGCATTGGGATTTAAAAACTTAAGACATCATGCGTGTTTATGTCTTTAATATTGTGATGTATGAACCCTTCTGTGTAAACTGTCTCCAATACTGTGGAGTAGGAAGGCCAGTGTATGGGTATGCCCATGAGGGTGTGTGCGTGTTGATGTGATTAACTGTTTTAGGGAGAACACAAAGAATCATACAAAGTGCCAGAAAAAAAAATTGACTGACACAAATTGTACTCATAGCCTCAGATAGTGTTATTGCCAGGGGATGGGGGCAAGGCTACATGAATATGAGTTTCAACAATTAAAATGTTGATGTTTAATAAGCCAGCAGTCTATGCACTAGAAGACTGTTTCAGAAAATTCTGACGTTCCAAATTGTCTTTCTTTTCCAGGTGAGAGTGGAGGTACGCAGAGTGCTGTCAGTCACCTAGGTTCCCAAGACGGGGGGATGATAACTATGCATAGTCCAAAGAGATCGGGGAAGATTCCTCCAAAACTCCACAATCATATGGTCCATCGAGTCTGGAAGGAATGCATCCTCAACAGATCCCAGTCCAAGTATGTTTTTTGCATAGTGTCTGGATCATGGTTTAGTAACCATCTCTTGGATTACTACATGAAGAGGATCAAGCACACTGTGTTATTGTGTGACCAAACCTGAGGGGTCATTGGATCGATATTTCATCTTTTTGAATATAATAGCATAAAATTCAGAACAAAGATGTTAAAATGAAGACGTTTACTTGATTTGATTATCCAGGAAATTTTTGAAGTTCCTGGTTGTCTCAAGATTGATGTGGTGTTCGTCTGACATTTTTTAGCACAGATGGCTCAAAAATTCACTCTGAGTGTCAGGACGGTAATCAGTGGGTTTTGTTTTCCTTTGTATACCAATTTATCAGTTTCCTATTTACAAAGAGAAATGGCCTTCTTTGCCATTTTTTCATGTTTGCCATGTTATGTTTTGGTTGACAGTGCATTTCTGAACGGAACTGGTGACACTTAGAAGGCGTGTCGACCAGCTGCTGTGCTTCTTTTTGTTGATTTGGGGAAACTATATTCTTTTCTGCCTCTACCCAACTTTTCTCCCTCCCCTGCCCTCCTCTCCTCTCTCCTTTCCTCCTTCCTCCCTTCTTTTTCTCCCTTCCCTCCTTCCTTAACGTATTTTTGGAAAAGAGGAAGAATTGATTCTAAGAAGAGACTGGTAGTGATTATTTTAATTGTGTGAATGATGCTGACAAACAGTAGTCAATAAGTGCTATTCCACTTATCAAAATGTATGTAAACATATTCAGCATGTTTTCATGTGCACTTTCTTGACTGCTGCAGGTAAACAAATGATTTTTGATTCTCTGGAACAGGATAAATATGGACATTCTTGTCTATAACTGCTAAGAATCCACTCAGAAGTCAATTCAATGTTTCTTTTTTTTTTTTTTTATAATTTTATTTATTTATTTTATTTTTTCCCCCAAAGCCCCAGTAGATAGTTGTATGTCATAGCTGCACATCGCTCTAGTTGCTATATGTGGGACGCGGCCTCAGCGTGGCCAGAGAAGCGGTGCGTCGGTGCGCACCCGGGATCCCAACCCGGGCCGCCAGCAGCGGAGCACACGCACTTAACCACTAAGCCATGGGGCCGGCCCAATTCAATGTTTCTTAAGTGACTATTATTCAAAGTTTTGTATACAGATTTAAAACCTGTCCTTTGGACCTAGCTTTTAGAAAATTCATGCTGTGTGTTTATTTCCCAATGAGTTAGTTCTAGAATAGGCTGCTGAAGAAGATGTAGTAGATAAAATCTAAAATAGAATGGAAAATCATGTCATTTTCTATAATTAAAAAGGTATCTCTAGTCACTTACAAATGATCCTTTCCTTTAGAATATTTGGTACAGATCTTTTTCACTTCTATTTGCAATGCCTAGACAATTCCCAAGTTAACATTTTCTTTTTCTTTTCCTTTCATTTACCGTCTTTGATTCTTATCACTACTGACCTTTCACCTCCATCAACTCTAGCAGAGCACAGCCCTCTATCAGCCCCAGAGAACAGGGAGGTGAGACACCAGAAAGGCAGGGGAGGGTGGAGAGCAAGAGAAGTCCCTGCAGAGCCATCATTGAAACGCTTTGCAGTGTCAGCTGTAGCAAAGTCAGCAATACAGAAATATTGCCCAGTGTTCTTCTTTTCACTATGTAATAATAGACATCTGCTTTTTGCTACCAATTATCAGTGGTATGTAGAAGATAGTTTTGTTTCTTGTCTTTTTGTTCTCGTTACAAGTGTAGAATGCTGCCCTTAAATGCTGGTAAATATAGGAGTTTTAAGAGTGATTTAAGCAGTCTGTCTGAGGGCATATAATTCACAGATGCTGTGAAAAGATAATTTTTAAAAATTTAGGTTATTTCTACAAAATTTAAGTGACTTTTTTTAAGCAGTAACTAGTAGTGCCAGATGATGTTTTAATTGCTATGTGTACCACCTGTGTTACAATGTACATTAAACTTAAATAAAAATATTTTACTTTTTTTGTGTGTGTGTGAGGAAGATTGGCCCTGAGCTAACATCTGCCAATCCTCCTCTTTTTGCTGAGGAAGACTGGCTCTGGGCTAACATCCATGCCCATCTTCCTCCACAAATAAAAATATTTTGAATCCTGCTTCTTCTAGTACATAGAACAAGTAGTTGTTTTGTTCCCCCCTTGAGTTGCTCTGAACTATATATCAGCAGGATACCATTACTATGTAAAATGTATTCATTTTTAACATTTTTTCCCAAGAGGTATGAATATTATCGCATGTTTACACAAGTTATATTTTTAACCTTTTTTAGGAGGAGCCAAATGTCAACTCCAACTCTTGAAGAAGAGCCTGCTAACAATCCTGCTACTTGGGATTTTGTGGATCCAACCCAAAGAGTCAGCTGTTCTTGCTCTAGGTATTTTTCTGTTAACATTGATTTCTAAACAGCTCACAGCCAAATTATGGTCCACCTTTAGAAAGTACATAGGATAAAAATTTTAGTGTGTTTAACTTCACTTGTGCCTTCATCTTCTTTTTCCTGCTCTTTTCCTTAATCTAGATTTTTTCACTTTTTAAAAATAACCTTTTTAATGATTTCTATTACATTTTTATTTGCTACCTTGAATTATTTTTACCTGAAGTATAAACAAACAAATGACACTCTTTCTTTTTTCTGGAGTTGTTCTATTTCCTCACCAAATTCTCAGACCTTCAGGTATTTTTTTATAGTTATGTATTCCATTCCATTGACTTCCAAATATTTGTCTCTAGACCTGACTTCTCACATGTACTCCAGTCTTGTATCTTTTGGGGTGCCTTTAAGAAATATCCTTAATATCGACATGTCTGTTTCCTCACAAATCAGGTACGCTATTGTGGTCGTTTTTCTCGCAACTTTCCCTTCTCAGCCTAGAAACTTGATCATTTATTTATTTTTCTTCATTTTCTAGATCAATTTTATCATAGCATTTCCCAATGACTTCCTTTGAGATGTCTACCATAGCCGTTCTACGTTCCTCATTCTTTTAGCCACCATGTGTTTCTACACTATTTGTCCCTGCTTCTGGTTCCTTCCCACCGCTGGAACCCCCGTATAGTTAGCCTTCTGAACCTGATCTTCCTGCTGCCTGCTTCAGTAGGCTTCCTGCTTGCCTGTTCAGAGATTTCCAATGATAGTCTGTTACTTACCTGTGTATCCCTAATTCTAACCATTTCACGTTGTAGCTGCGTCGTTAAATACAATTGAAAAAAATGACTTTATAAGATTACCCACTTTGCAAAAAGTCCTTATTTTGAAGAGGCTACCATGAAATATCTATCAAAGGACTGGTGTGGTTAAATGCTCTCCAAGAAAATCCAAATCAAAAAGTTTTATGTAAAAGACTTTTTAGAGCTTGGGTTTTAAAGTAAGCACCCTTAGAAGATATAATTGAGATATTTTTGCTTGAGACATTCATCTTTTACTGTGTACTGTGCCCTGGGGATTTAAAGCACAATTTTCACCTTATTGACAATAGCCTTATCCTTAGACAACCTTCTTCAAAGTCAGAATTTTTTTTTTTTTTTTAGAGTAGCAAAGACTTTGGCAAGAGTGTTTTCAGATTATCTACTACAGGATTACCAAACCCATTATGGAACGGTCCACTCCTTACACTATTTAATGGCCTTATGGGGCAGGGTGGCCGTCCTGCTGTCCCACTAAACCATCCCATTATGCCACACAAATCCATTTTACTGCCCACTAGGGCATCATTTAGTGCGATGCAGCAGTAATTTAATGCCACCCTAGTGGCCTCGGAGAGTTACTGCTACACCAGCAGGAGAGCTTACATTTTGCCCTGGGAATGATTTATATATTGGGAGGAACTGGCTGACCTGCTATATAACTTTGTTGCACAGATTAAACCTTGGCATCATCTAGTCGGCCCTTATCGAGCAATTTCTCACACCCACGCTTGCCAAGAAGTGTGTTAGGTTGTGAGCAGACTTGCTATTCCTGCTTAGATAGTACAAATGCATTTGTATATGTGTGTTGTTTTAATATTCACTCACAACCTTTTTACTTCTGTCTCATTTTAACATATGTCTGTGAGCTCCAAATTGTCTTTTATCCCTTCTTTCTTAGATAATAGTGGCATATAAGGTTTCTAGTATATTTATCCTATTAAATGTTCTCAGGATCGAGAATTTTTTTTAGTTTCACACTTTGGGGGAGAGTTGCATAGTAACTTTATTCCTGATTTACAACACTGTAAGCTATTATAAACCGTTCTATATTGGAGTTAGTAGAGTGTTGTAAAATAGAAATTGGAAGCTTTTTTTGTTTTTTCTTGGCAGGTGATCTCATTACTCTTGGTTTTAAGATGCAGTGTGACTAGATCATCTGAGGCCCTTACCAAATTGGAAAGATTTGGAGATTTTTCAAATGAGTATTTTTGTAGGGGTTAGCAGTGTATTAGTTTAGTTTATGTTTCTTAAGTCTATCTCTTATCTGCTTAACTCGTATGTGATTGATTCAGCTCTTTCCATCAGGGTATGTTGCACTTTTTAGTCCCTATAACTATAATTAACAGCCAGAGTCCTTTTCGATGTATTTGTGCATCTAATGTGTGCTTAAAAAGACGTGACCTTGTCAGAGGCATCTCTTTTGTAATGTTATAATGATGCAGTTATTTTTATCTGCATTGACTTCATTTTAATTCTCGTTTCAGGCATAAACTTTTAAAACGTTGTGCAGTAGGACCCAATCGACCTCCCACAGTATCTCAACCAGGGTTCAGTGCAGGACCATCATCATCTTCATCTTTACCACCTCCTGCTTCTTCTAAGCACAAAACAACAGAAAGACAGGAAAAGGGAGACAAGTTGCAAAAGAGACCCTTGATACCATTTCACCATAGGCCCTCTGTGGCCGAAGAGTTATGCATGGAACAAGATACACCGGGACAGAAGCTAGGGTTGGCAGGGATAGAGTCCTTGGAGGTGTCTAGCAGTAGGAAGTATGATAAGCAAATGGCCGTGCCTTCCAGAAATACAAGCAAGCAAATGAATCTGAATCCTATGGATTCACCTCATTCCCCTATTTCCCCTCTGCCGCCAACACTCAGCCCTCAGCCACGAGGTCAGGAAACGGAGAGTTTGGATCCGCCATCTGTCCCTGTGAATCCAGCACTCTACGGAAATGGGCTAGAACTCCAGCAGTTGTCTACTCTGGATGACAGAACTGTCCTTGTAGGCCAAAGACTGCCTCTGATGGCAGAGGTCAGCGAGACAGCCTTATATTGTGGGATTAGGCCCTCGAACCCGGAGTCATCAGATAAGTGGTGGCATAGCTATCGCCTCCCACCCATTGATGATGCTGAGTTCCGGCCTCCAGAGCTCCAGGGTGAGAGATGTGATGCCAAAATGGAGGTAAACTCAGAGAGCACTGCATTGCAAAGGTAAGGCAACTCTACACACCATCTGTCTGACCCACCAAAAGACCAAGGCCCCAGTCTCCCAGGAGTCAGGGGCTTTCCTCCGCCTCTCACCCTGCTAAACCTTCACATCCAAAATGAAAGAGGCGGGCCGGCCCCATGGCTTAGTGGTTAAGTGCGCGCGCTCTGCTGCTGGCAGCCCGGGTTCGGATCCCAGGCGAGCACCGACGCACCGCTTCTCCGACCATGCTGAGGCCGTGTCCCACATACAGCAACTAGAAGGGTGTGCAGCTATGACATACAACTATCTACTGGGGCTTTGGGGGAAAAAAATAAAAAATAAAAAAAATTAAAAAAATCAAAATGAAAGAGGCTTTTCTTCACCATTCTAGACTCTGCATTTGGAAAATGTTTGAAAGTCAAGTGCTTTGTCCTTCATGAGGTTTAACACGCGTCATTATTTAAACATGCTGGCCTATAAAGGTTTCATTGTGGGATGTAGTACACTTGTATTAATTTATATTTGGCCTGCTGTTTGTTAATCAAAGAATATAGCTTTATGAGACTTTCCATATTTCGATCAGTGCCTTCTTTGTATGTTGACACTTTTAAGGAAGGCTTTGCATGTATTCAGATATGTATCATGCATCTAGTAATAATACTTAATATTTATGGTGCTTTTGAGCTACCCATTATTCTAAACAGTTTACACAGATTATCTCATTTAATCTTTACCACAACCACATTGTTACCTTAATTTCGTAGCTGAGAAAGAAACTAGGGTCATGCAGTTAGTAAATGACACAGATGGCATTTGAACCTAGACGGTCTGTCCTCAGAGCCCATCTATGCTCTTAACTGGAATCCATGGACTCAGACAAAAACATGTATTCTTGACAAAGGCTACTAAGTTTTATTTAATTGTGAATATAGTCTCTTAAGAAATTCTCTATGTAGATGAATTTTTATTTTAGCTTTTTAAGTTTAGTTACAAATGCTTTGAATCATAAATGCTGCTCTTTTTTTTTTAACATCAGTCTTTTTACTTTGTTTGTCTTTCTTTCCTATTTTCCAGGCTATAGCTTGTACAGTGCATGTTTCTTCTCATATGCTAGTTCTTGTTTGCCTATGCTCCCCACTTATTTCTTTTTAAATTGTCATTTATTTTCCCTTTTAGACTCTTAGCACAACCTAACAAACGGTTTAAAATCTGGCAAGACAAGCAGCCCCAGATGCAGCCACTCCACTTCCTTGACCCATTGCCTCTGTCACAACAACCTGGGGACAGTTTGGGAGAAGTCAATGACCCATATACCTTTGAGGATGGAGACATAAAATACATCTTTACAGCAAACAAGAAATGCAAACAAGGGACGGAGAAAGATTCCCTGAAAAAGAATAAGGTACCATTTAACACAGAGGGAGTCCAGCATGGTGCGGGTTTCGGTCTATGTCAGCACAACACGTGTGGGAAGACTTTTGAGGCAGAATGTTTGAGATAGTCTTGCCTGATTGCTCTGTCCCCATATTCATGCTCTTGGTACTATTGTATTGAACAGCGTATCGTTCCTTTTTATGTCATGGCTCACCTTTGTTTAAAAGTCAGCTGAACATAAATGAAGCCTCATATTTTCCAGGCTATAGCTTGTACAGTGCATGTTTCCTTTCATATGCTAATTCTTGTTGGCCTATGCTCCCTACTTATTTCTTTTTAATTATTACTCCAAAATACCCAAAATGTAAAGAAAAAAATGTTGATAACCATATCTACTGTTTATTGAGCGCTTCGTGTGTTTACTGTGCCAAGCGCTTTACCTATATATCTTTGTGAATTAGTATCAACACTACTCCTAGACTGTGTCAGTATTTTACTGGTTTCATTGTCATAAAAATGAGTACTGGGGGTGTCTGCTGTCTTTAGCCTTAAATTTTAAAATATTCTAAAATATTGGGCCATAAAGAGGTATTCTTGAGAATAGAGGAAATAAGAGAATTAAAGGAGGCCAGTATAGTTTAGGAGAATGCATCTTAGATTCCTTTGCAGAGATCTGTCTAGATCCAGAAAGCTTGAACCATAATTCAGCATCCAAAATGTTATTAAAGGCAGCTTTTAACACCGTGGCAGATCTGTAATCAAATGCCACCAGTACTGTTTAGGCATAAAACGCTGACTGACTCAGAATACTTCAGAGGATCGAAGGGAATGTGTGGGAGTTTTTGGTTCTGTTTAAATTCAGGGAAAAGGACATATCTTTTATTTCCTTTGGTTGCATAGACCATGGTTTATCATACTTGTGCTCATAACAAGTTCCATTCTACCCTCTAATTCTTTGTGTTCTCCCTCATATTCCACACTTTGGGTTGGTGTTCATGTGTTTTGTTTGGCTGAATTTATTACACAGTCAGAGGATGGATTTGGTACCAAGGATGTCACTACACCAGGTCATTCCACGCCGGTGCCTGATGGGAAAAATGCCATGTCTATTTTCAGTTCTGCTACTAAAACAGGTGTGTACAATGATTATTTGCCTCACTTGGATTGTTGCTAAAATAAAATGCGAGGGAGATGCTTCTCGATTTAAAATTATATTCTTATTGTGATAGCAATAATTTGATCTCATCTTTAATATGTTTTTCATAGTTTGTTTTTCAGTTCCTTTCAAAACTGATAAACATATTTGGAAGTAATTGTCTCTAAATTTAACTGAAAACATAGGGAAACATTCACAGGCAGGTCTTGCTCATTGAGATCCGTGTTCTCTCCTCACTCCTTCTCCCTTGATAAAGTTGCTCATTCTGTGTCTTTTTGCCTCCTTTCTCGCAGACGTCCGGCAGGATAATGCTGCTGGCAGAGCTGTCTCCAGCAGCCTTACGCAAGTGACAGATCTGGCACCTTCCCTGCATGACTTAGACAACATCTTTGATAATTCTGATGACGACGAACTTGGGGTGAGTCTGCAATAGCTGCACGAACAAGAATCTCCCTGAACGCGAGGACTTATGTCAGTGTTCTGGTATTGCTTTATAGTTTGGTCTCCTGAATTTGGGGGCTTTTATTTCAGGTTCTGAATGTTCTTCAAAAGCATTTGTATACTTGGAAAGGATTCTGAAAGTTATTAGTGTAGTCTCTAACACCCCTTGGGTTTTGTTTGTTGATGGCTTTTTTTCATTAGTGTTAGTCCTGTTGTAAATATTAAAATCTTTGACATTTATTTAAAAAAATCCTTCTAAATATCATGAGACTAATAGAAATGTATTATGTGGTCCTTTTAGCTCAGATTTTAAAAATAACACTTACATGAGTTTTTATTTATCTATTAAGTCAGAGGGTAAGTCTGCATTTTGAGAGATATACAAATATGGTCTATACTTTTTAAAGTTATAGCATTGTAGTAGGGAAATAGAATTTATGTGCATAGAAGTTTAATAATACAAAGCATCATATGATTAAAGTGACAGGTAAGAATTATAATTTTTTGGAGAGCAGCTGAGCTGAGTCAGGAAGTTTGTGTCCTCATCCTCCTCACCAACTCGGTACCTTTGTGCAAGTAGAAGTGCCTGTTATTTCTGGGGGACCTACAGATGAGTAAGATAGGCCCTCTCTTCAAGGAATGCCGTTTATTAATTTATTTTTCTTTCATTTATGTACTTACCTTCCTTCTCATCCATCCATTTTACATATATTTGTTAATCATTTGATGATCAGTTCCTTTGTGGTAGGTACTTGAGGTTACAGATATTATTAAATTACCACCCTTATACTTGAGATACTCACAGACGTCATATAAATAAAGTGAAGACTATACTTACTGCTGTGAGTGCAGTAATTGACCTGAATCTAAAGATGCTGGATGTTCAAGTACAAAGTAACCAGCGAGCAGTGTTTAAATTAAGCCTTGAAGGTTAAGTAGGAATCAGATTTCTAAAGCCCATTCTCACTTTAAAATAAAATGTATCTGGATAACAGATATTATGCACCATTAGTATTATAAGTACTTAGAAAGATGATGAGATCATAATGGCCTCGAAGGATGGATTTGACTTGAAATGTGGCAAGACTGGGTTAGTGAGAAGCAGGGGAGGGACGTTAGTTAGAGCCTGGAATGAGCCCTGGTTAAGCTACAAGAATGAGCCAGCTGGTCTTTGGGGGATAATGAGCAGAGAGACCGTCGGTCTGTTTTCTGAGTGGTGGGTAAAGATTGGTGGGACTAGGAAGGTTTTTGGCCACATTTATGGTTTTGGACTTTGGACGCTGCTGGAAATGTGTTCCTCTGAAGGCTGCTGAGTGTGGAACTGACCTGGTAGAACTGAGTGCTGTTGTTTATCAATCTGATACACAGAAGCAGGAGTACTCTTTGGTAACTTTTGTTGGATTGAAACTTGAGGACCTGAATTCAGGCAGTGGCTGCTTGAAGGAAAAGGACAGGGCAGTGTGAAAAACTTTGGTAGAAGAAATGACATGCTTCCTTACTGTTGACCCAGGCAATGTTGAACTTGACTCTCTCTCTAAAGCCAAGCATTATCTAGGATTGGTTTTAAAGACCCTGAGAGTTAGGGTAGATGCTTTGATGGTAATGGTGGGAACAAAGTATGAAAGGAAAAGGAATCAACAAGAAGTAGAAAGGGAGAAGTGAGAAAAGAAAAAAGCGAGCCTTGCGGAGTGGCCTGTGCTGTTGACAGCCACCATCCCTGGTGATCGTCATCTTTACTCTGAGCCTCTGTACCTACTCTCTGTATGAATTATGAATGACTGCTGGGCTCAATGAAGAAATGCTTACTTTGTTTTCGAATATATTCTTTGTAATGTTAACATGCAAAGGAGAGTTGGACATTTTTAATCTAATTTTCATTTCTCTGAAATGGTTTCTACTTTGCTCTGATTTCTAGCCTGACATTTAATCAAGGCATTTAATCAAGAGTTTACCTTAAAATCATTTTGCTAATTCATCTTACTAGTAACTGGAGTTGGGAGGCTGTTGTCCAAGTTTTCATCCCAAATGTCTTTGAGATGAAATTTTACATCTCAAATTTTATATCAACTCTATAACATTGAATAGGTTTACATAAATAAAAGCCCTTCCATTTGTGAGAATATTTTTTCCTTTTTTGCTTTGTTTTATTTTATTTTGCCACCAATTCATTTGAGTTCTTAAGGTAATCTTGCCTATTAAGGGACTTAATTTGTTTTAAATAACAAATCAAAAACCTTCTCAGTATATTTCAATAATTTTATGAGACAAGATTACTTTTTATGAAGATGGACAGTAACTGTGGAAATAGAAACAGAAGATATATGGTTTTTTTATGGTGAAAAATAAAAGAATAATAGTTTGGGAGGGCCTGAGGTCGTTTCTTTTTAGCTGCCTGCTTCCAAACACAAGGAAAACCAGACTGATAGCCAATTACTACTTGGAGGCACCACCCTAATGGAATTACTGTGTCCCTGGAACTACTTCTCTAATGACCTGGGAGGGAAGATTTGCTAAGGTCTGCCAGCTCTGCTTTGAGGGCACAATCTGCCCTCACCAGATCCATGAAAAGGAGCCTCAGTCACTCAGTTACTCATACTTGATGAACTTGTAACCATCTCCTTTGTTTCACTGTCTGCTGGTATTTCTAGAAGTTCACCTGGTGAACACTATGTAAGGAAGCATCTTTCCTTTCCTTTAAAGTATCGGCAGGCATACACTAATAGTTGACTGCTGCACTACTTATATACAGATGTGTTACTGTGTTTTAATAATAATAATCTGTTCTAAGGCTGTGTCACCTGCACTGCGCTCATCGAAAATGCCTGCAGTTGGGACAGAAGACCGGCCGCTCGGGAAGGATGGAAGAGCTGCTGTTCCTTACCCGCCAAGTAAGAAGAAGGTCCCGCTTCCGCACGCCGCTCCCGGCTCACATACGAGGCTCTCATGCTCAGTGGTGCCTCGTCTGAGATTCCCCTCCTCCTCTCTTCCCTTTCAACAGAGTACTAACTATGAATTAACACGTGTATAAGTGGGTATTCCTAAGATGGCAGGCAGCTGAGAGAGCATCTTAATTGGAATTCCTTTTCCTTTTGTTTTCAAATTGAGAATTAACTGTTATGGTTAAAAATGTGGGCAAACATGTTTTAGGTTTGGTTTTATAATAGCCCTTTCCTACTAGGATAAATGCTGCACAGTGATTTTCAGAGCAATATTCCACTATAAAAGCTTGTGTAAAATATTTTAATTTTCATAAATTGAATTTACACAAGGATAATGAATATTTGTTTTCTGTGGTCCTTTTTCAGTTCATACTGAAATTTTTGTGTTTCCTTTTGAGATCAACTAGTGTTATTACATATGCTGACAAGAGGAGAAACTTGCTTTTTTTCTAGTTATTCTTTACCCTAAGAAACCACATTGTTCCATAAGAGAAAAGAAAGCCAGGTAGCTTATGTGGATACTCTGAAGCAGAAACATAATTCCATTGCAAATCATTCTTTAATACCTTCTCATTAACTTCAGCTGGTAATGAGAACAAATTGAGGGGAAAAACCACCATGTCATAGGGATGAGTCAAAAAGTTTTATGAACCTATAAATGTAGTGCTGATTTACTCAAATGTGGAAGTGTGAAGTATACAGAGATTGGATTTTGACAGCTTTAGTGGATCCATAGCTTTTTAAAATATGCAAAGCTTTCTCAAGCATGACATGTATGAAAATGAATAATGATAGCCAGCCAGTTGCTGTAGTTTTTTTAATTAAACATTTTTCTTTTTTTATTACTCTGCACTGCAGAATTTTACAAACAAGGAACTCACAGATTAAAAGAAACAGTATTAAAGTAGAAAGATATGGAATAAGTCAGATAAATCAATTTTTTCCCGCGTATTGAACCAGTTAATTCTCTGCCGTTTTTGACATTAAGTGATACATAGGGATGTTAAATGTTAAAATGTCTGGTAACTCATCCAAGATTATTCACTCACAAACCATTCTGCTAGTTAGTGTCGTAGCCCGGTAAAGTATATGGTGTACTCTGTTCTTTCTCTCTTTTTTTTTTTGTTTTTGTTTTTGTGAGGAAGATCAGCCCTGAGCTAACATCCATGCCAATCCTCCCCTTTTTGCTGAGGAAGACTGGCCCTGGGCTAACATCTGTGCCCATCTTCCTCCACTTTATATGGGACGCCGCCACAGAATGGCCTGACAAGCGGTGCCTCGGTGTGCGCCCGGGATCTGAACCTGGGCCGCCAGCAGCGGAGCGTGCACGCTTAACCACTACACCGTGGGGCTGGCCCCCTTTCTGTCATTTTTATTCAAAAGGAATTGTTTCAAAAAGAAGCTACTCAAAATTTTATGGGAAAGTACAGATTATAAAAATTAATGAGTTTGAAATATAGCAGAAATATTAGCATCAGAAAAATACAGATATACAAGAGTCAAGAGGATCTTTTTAATATATACAAAGTATGTATGTGTGAATGTGTGTGTGTGGACATACATACAATATTTCCTCCTAAGACAAGGCAATGAAAATAGCATGGCAAGAAGTTCTCATCTCTGCAATAGCTTTATTGTACATTGAGGTGGAAAGACAGACATATTATAAAATTTAACGTCTAGAACAGCTCCATCCCGTAGAAATACAAGGTGAGCCACGAATGAAAGCCACATAAGTAATTTTAAATTTTCTAGTATTACATTAAAAAAGTAAAAAGAACCATGTGAAATTAATGATATATTTTAACTTAATATATGCAAAATATTGTAATTTTTACATATCAGTACAAGAAATATTGAGATATTTTACATGCTAATTTTGTACTCACTCTTGGGAATCCTGTGTATGTTTTACACATGCAACACATCTCAGTTTGGACAAGCCCGATTTTGAGTGCTCCACAGCCATGTGTGGCTAATGGATACTGTGTTGGACAGCATAGGTCCATAACCATTCATCTGTGTATGTCATAATGAAGAAAGCAGCACGCAGTAACAGGGAGGTTTAGTTTAGCGTCAAGTCTGTGTTAAGGTAATATCGTGTTATAATAATAAAAACAGAAGTGCTTTTCTTAGATTTCACTATTAACCAATTGCTTATGAATTTTCATCTTTGAAAGCATGTCATTTTGAAGTATAAATCTTTGAGGACACCAAATGAAAAATTTGGACTTTTGAGTTGGCTTCATTTATTTATTCTGCAAGGGCACTTACTATTTGCAAGGGACTCTGCTAGGTGCCCTGGGACCAGGAGAAGATTGAGAGATTAGTGATGATGCTTCTGTTGGAGGGCTTCACTCTTGTACATGAATACTTGAAGTACAGGATAGGAGACGGTGTCCTTAATGAGTTCCAGCTGAAGTGCAGTGGATCTGGAAGGATGGGCAGGACATAAGTAAGTGGAGCGTTGTGGGAAAGACACCTCAACTCCAGTCCATTCTGGTAGCTGTTCCCACCCTCACTTTAGCCAATTTTTAGGAAGAAAATTAAACAGGCAAGCCATGTTTTTCTGTTTTGAAGGACCAGAGCGTTTCTCTGGGTTTCTGTTTTCCTTCTGCCTTACCTACTTTGAATCCAGTTCCCTTTTTTTTAATCTCAGAACTTCTTTGGGGTTATCTCTTTTCAGAAATTTCCCTATAACTTCGCAGCATTTCCATCTTTTTCCAATCAAACCAAAATTGGGAGGGAGAACTAATTATTGCTGACCTCATCACTTACTGAATGTTTAGATGTACGTGGCAAAGTCTTCACTACTGTGCATACATTATCTCATTTAACACGCACAAAAAATATGGGGTAGGTATTATTCCCATTTTGTAGATGAGGAAATTGAAGCTAGAGGTTAAGAGTCATGGGCCGTCCCCGTGGCTTAGCAGTTAAGTGCACGCGCTCCGCTACTGGCGGCCCGGGTTCGGATCCCGGGCGTGCACCGACGCACCGCTTCTCCGGCCATGCTGAGGCCGGGTCCCACATACAGCAACTAGAAGGATGTGCAACTATGACGTACAACTATCTACTGGGGCTTTGGGGGCGGGGGGGAAAGGAGGAGGATTGGCAATAGATGTTAGCTCAGAGCCGGACTTCCTCAGCAAAAAGAGGAGGATTAACACGGATGTTAGCTCAGGGCTGATCTTCCTCACGAAAAAAAAATAAATAAAAAAAATAAAAATACAGTCATGGGGCCGGCCCCATGGCGTGGCGGTTAAGTGCTCGCGCTCCGCTGCTGGTGGCCCGGGTTCAGATGCTAGGCCATGCTGTGGCGGCGTCCCATATAAAAAAGTAGAGGAAGACGGGCATGGGTGTTAGCCCAGGGCCAGTCTTCCTCAGCAAAAAGAGGAGGATGGGCGTGGATGTAAGCTCAGGGCTGATCTTCCTCACACACACACACACACACACACAAAAAAAAAAATACAGTCATGCATCTCTTAACGAAGGGGGTACGTTCTGAGAAGTGCGTCGTTAGGTGATTCGGTCCCTGTGCGAACATCATAGAGTATACTTACAGAAACTTAGAGATATAGCCCACTATGCACCTGGGCTGTATGTACTAATCTTATGTGACTGCCATCGCATATGTGGTCGTTTGTTGACTGAGACTTGATTATGTGGCAGATGACTGTATTTGATAATAAGAATGGTGAAGACCACTTTCTAAAGTGAATCTCTGGCCAGTGGAATCTCATTTTATCTGTACTTTTTTTTGTGTTCTCTTTTACCTTTGATAAAATTATCAAGGTGGCTGAGGCTTTGAAAACTGAGATATATAACTGTGTTAGGTGGCATCAAAGAAGTTGGGTAGCCCTAAGTGAAAAATGCCTTGATTACATTTCTTAGAGAAAATTTAAAAACTAATTTCATAATATAATCTTTTGGTAAAATTTTGTACCATAGCCAGAATACTTATAAGTGAAGGAAAGGCTATGTTTAAATTCATTGTCATTTTAACTCAAAGAGAATTTATATAATTGCTTTATTTTCTGAATATCTACTTGGTGATTAAGATCTATAAAGTAATATGACTTTGAAGATTTCATGAAGCAGACTCATAGTTTAAAATATTATACTTACAAATTAATTTTATATTAAAATTGACCAGTAGCTGCTCTTTAGCTTGGGAAAAGGAACAGAGACTAAAGGTTAAAGGTAATGGATGTATTTCAGGTGTAACCTAACTCTATATTAAAGTCTTCAGCTGTGTTTTAAAGAAAACTTAATTGATGTGGTTCCTGCTGCATTTGAAGACCTGTTTTTCCACCACAGAATTTTTGAACTGTATAGTATCTCCAGTGGTTCTCTGGTAGTTTCTGGCTTGGCTTGGCTTGTATCCCTAGTTCTGTGAATTGTTACATTCCTTAAGGGTAAAGTACTGTCAAAGCTAAAAGGTACCTTGAAGGTCAACTTGGGGGTTTAGTTTTTTTCTTTTTTTCTCAGCAGCAGCAGGTACCATTTTGTTTAATGCAGTCTCCTACAGAATCCTATTATAGAAAATAAATAGAAGTGGAGCTTCTCTAATGGAAGGGAAAGTTGGGATCCGAAACCCTGTCTGTGTTGGCCTCTTCCTCCCCTTGTTTTACAGATAAGCATCTGAGCCCAAGAGAGGGTAAATTATTCAGGATTATGTAATTGTTTAACTAGGAAACATGGTAAAGATCATGTAATCCAGAGGTTCTCAGCTTGTTTTCTGCCTCCATATGTGGAGGCTTGCCCTTCCCCTCATAAACAGGAAAGAAAGCAAGCCTGGTGAGAATCACACTTCTCATCAAGCCTTCTCCTTTAGATGAAGGAACTGAGGTCCTGAGGGAGGAGGTGACCTGGCGGTAGCAGCCCTGTGCTGGGAGCGCCTGGACGTGGAGCCCGTCCACTGCGTCTGCTTACAGAGCTCTGCCAGGGCAGGGCACGGTGCAGTTACTCTTTATTAATCACTGCTTCAGAGCCACAAGTCATATCTAGTCTCTTCAGTGGCTACTGTTTGCCTGTTTAAATGTTGAAGTTGCTAGAAAGAGCAATATGATCTGCAAATGGGGTATCAGATAACAATTCCAAATCTGATTTAAACTTGTGGCTCCAAATTTGTGAGTAAATTTGCTGTACAGGCCACCCCCTAGTGGCCAGATGTCACAACCACAACTTGCATTTCATTTCATATACCCCTACTTTCAGAATCAATGTCTGAATAAGCCACTGTTAATGATGACAGTTAACCTCAGGTATATTAAAATCATTTTTTAAAAGCGGATTGAGAATCACTGTTCTAAGTATTTCTTAAAAGATACTTTTTTTTCCAGTTGATTTTCAAAAAAATTGACTTTTGGTTCCAGGTAGGATTGTTATTCCTAACTATGAAGTTTCATTTTAATGTCAATTTGGAAAGAGAATAGGAACTGTTTCCCCAAAGAGCAGCAAATATAGTGGATATGTCAAACTAGCTGAGTAATCCTACTACATATAAACCACCATTCTAGCTCTAAACAATTTTTTTATTTTCTGTGATATAAATGACTGATAGATTTTCCGTGTAAAATTTGCTATGTAACATTTGTTCTGTAATTCTGAAATATTTCATACGTACCTGTAATCAGGGATAGAACTTTTAATAACGTGGTTACTCAATCTAATTGCTTCCGTCTTCTACTTAGTTCGTCTCCTTAGACTTTTCATGGAGTCAATTGTTGGAATAAAAATGTGTGTTATGTAGACTTCGTTCACCTAATTAATGTGAAGCCAAATCATAAAGCATTAAGAAGATAGTGATAAAGTTCCAGAAAAGGATAATTTTCTGCTGATGGCCTTCTTCTTAGAGACTTCCATTATTAAAATTCTATTGTGTAACTGATAAGACCATTCAGTTAGCCTTATATCTAAGGCCAAATTGGGTGCCTGGCTATGAACTGGGATTTTTTAGAAGTCCTGCCTGTTAAAAGAAATGGTTTGTTTTTGTTTTTGTTTTCTTTCCTTTTTCTTCTTTTTTTAGCAGTTGCAGACCTGCAAAGGATGTTCCCCACCCCTCCTTCTTTGGAACAGCACCCTGCATTTTCTCCTGTGATGAATTATAAAGATGGAATCAGTTCAGAGACGGTGACCGCATTAGGCATGATGGAGAGTCCTATGGTCAGTATGGTTTCCACACAGCTCACTGAATTCAAAATGGAAGTGGAAGATGGATTAGGAAGTCCCAAGCCAGAGGAAATAAAGGTAATGGCCAGTATATTAATTTTACCAAGGCAGGGTGGTTTTGAAGCAGATTCATATACATCTCCTTTAAAATAGTATTATCTATATGCCATATATACATAAGTTTCTAAGAATCCTCTGAATTGCATCATGAGGTACATCACTTGGTATATTAATTGATAGTCTTTTGATTAAATTAAAGTTTGATGTTAGCATTTTTCTGCTGATCAGATGAGAGAAATACTGACTTACAATCATTTTTGCTACTGTTGCGGTGTGTCCTAAGTCGTTTACCAGCATTATCACTGACCCCGCTTTGTTGTCACAGGACTTTTCATATGTGCACAGAGTTCCAACTTTTCAACCTTTTGTGGGATCCTCCATGTTTGCTCCACTGAAGATGTTGCCGAGCCAATGCCTGCTACCTCTGAAGATACCTGATGCCTGTCTGTTTCGGCCTTCGTGGGCAATCCCTCCTAAAATTGAACAACTGCCCATGCCACCTGCAGCCACTTTCATTAGAGATGGCTACAAGTATGTGTAGGGATTGTGTCAAGTCTCTTGCCATAGTTAATGTGATTTTTATCTTCAATATTTATTAAATATTTATTTTAATATTAAATGTTTATTAAAAATAATGGCAGTAGCTTATCATTTGAAACTTTCCTTTATTGGCCATTCATGTTTTTGTGCACATTATTTTCTGTTGAAAATGTGCATTATTTTCTAAACTAAATTTCATGTACGTGAAAAAATTAAGGTCATTTGTATAGAGAACTATGGTGTTCATGCTCGTTCAGTGTCAAATCAGTGTCTACCACAGAATCAAGCACTAGATAGGAATTGGTAATATTCTTTGAGTGGTGGAGGTAAGTACTTTGTTTACTTTGTTTTAATAAATTGATGATTTCAAATGTGTTCACTTAAGGCACTGGAAAATGAAGCATTAACATAGATAATTTCTCTGTTACTGGCCGCATGTCATATAAGAAAGCAACAACAGAACAGTGATATGATATGTGGGAAGGAAGAGAAGGTGTTTATCATAGCTTGGACATATTTCATACTGTCCAAAAAGTAGTGCATATGTCAACAACGTGGAATCAGTTTCCCCTATAATTAATAATTTCTTAAATACTTTAAATGTTATAAAATAGAAGGCCACAAACTCAAATTTTTATTGGGACTAGGTACGCAATATGTGGATGAAATGGACTGGGTAAAGCAACAGACTTGGCATTGCTGGTGCTCAGCGTCATTGTGAGGGACAGAGGGGTGAGCAGAGTCTATGATGAACTGTTGAGAGTACACCCCATTTAAAGGGATGTTTGCTATTCGATTGCAGTGAATTGTTCAGGCAGGAATGTGGGAGACTGGAGATCTGGATTTTTATGTAAATTTCCTTGTTAAAAATGTTGAGAGTAAGGGGCCGGCCTGGTGGCATTGTGGTTAGGTTTGCGTGCTCCGCTTCAGCAGCCTGGGGTTTGCAGGTTCTGAGCCCAGGAGCAAACCTACGCACCGCTCATCAAGCCATGCTGTGGTGGTGTCCCATATACAAAATGGAGGAAGATGGGCACAGATGTTAGCTCATGGCCAGTCTTCTCACCAAAAAAAAAATGTTGACAGTTAATTCGGAGTTACAGTTTAGGAGCCAATAAGAGAAATTTGTGGTTCAGATCCAGTCTGTCGGCTACTTATTTGTGACCTCATATAAAACCATCTTGATAAAATCAACTGTAATGTCTTAAACAGGTTTTATGCTTGTGTTATGTAAAGTCAATATGAGAATGAAAAACTGTGACAGAGTAGTATAAAAGAACCCTAGCCTTGGGAAGGTACAGCTGTCGTGTCATAGGACTCAAATTCTGCCTTTTCTGTTTATTCTGTGTTTGACCTTCAATGCCCCTTTTACCTGAGTCTTCCCGTCTTAAAATGGGATAATCCTGCCCCACTTCCCACACAAGAATTTTGAAAGGCCTCGACAATAAATGGTTGTAGAAGTACTGTGGGAATAACAACTCACTAGCAACATGGAAGAGTGTGCTCAAGAGCAAGAGCGCTCTGGATGCAGGCGCCTGGCTTGTTTTCTGCTGCTGTGCTAGTTTACTCTAGCTTATTGGGTAGAGACGGGGACAGCACAGCTGGAGCGACTAGCACGCCGCTTGCAAACAGTGCAGCGGCTTCAAGAACCCTTTCCACGGATTAATCTCGTACACACACGTGCTCCTCAAAAAAGTGACGTGTAACCCTTTGCTGCATGATATTTTAAATAATAAATATTTAGGTCATTGTTTAGATCTATCGTATCGACCATTTGCCATTCCAGAGATTCTCAGTATTCTAAACTGGAACTGTTAACAGGACTTTCTGTGATGAAGGAAGTGTTTTGTATCTGCACCTTCCACTATGGCATCCACCTTCCACTATGGTAGTTGTGCACCACTTGAAGTGTGGCTAGTTGAGAGCAAGACTGAATTTTAGTTTTATTTAAGTTAATATAAATTTAGCACATGGGCTGGTGGCTACCTTAGTGGCCAGTACAGTTCTAGACTATGTGAAATCCTCCTGCTGTGGTCTCTGTCCCCAGGGACCCCCCCTTGTCACACTCAGCACACCAGCATTCACTTGCTTGATCTCTGTCATACTTAACATGAGCTACCTTTTCTTCCTCTTTTTCACTGTTGAATATCCGGCATTTAACATAGGGTTGGTACTCAATTCATTTTTATTGAATGGGAAAAATCAGGTTACTATGCAAGATGAACCATTCTTACTACCTAGGGAGCAATTTCATTATTTAGGTTTTCAGTTAGTATTCATAGTTCCTTTTCTGATCTGAACTGCATAATAATTTTAGGGTTTTGTTGAGCAGGAAAATTTGAAAGGAGTCCGATTAGAGTAAAGATCATTATTATATACTTATTATTTTGGTCTCTGAGATAGCAGTGATTGCTAATCAAGGTTTCTGGGTCATTTTTTATCTGTACTCAAGATACCACTGTGCCTCAGATTTAAAATTTCTTTACAGTGCCTGCTTTGGATTTTCCAGGTGGTTGCTTAGGCATAGCTAATTAAAAACCACAAGGAAATTATTTGAAGAGTCATTACTTTATGACGTTCTTCTTTCAAATTATAAGTGAATGACTAAGTTTATTGGAGGAACATTAGTTTAAGCACAGTATTAATAGATTTCAAAAGAATATTAAGCATTTAAAAAAACTGTATTCTTTTGATACCTTCAAATTACAAAGAATGGTCTCGGTGCTGTTTTACATGTACATCTAAGAATGTATGTCAAGAGAATTTTTTACAGTAATAAGGCAGTAGAACATTGCAGACACTGTTTTGTTTTCTATATGCCTCTTCCAAAAAGAAGTCAATGCTTATGAGAAAGTAGCTAACAGTGTGATCAGTCTCTGGGAACTAAAAATAATTGTGCTATAGATAATGCAGAGCATATTGAAAAATAAAAAATGAACTAGAATTGCCTACCACCCTTCAAGAGTTAGAAGCTTGGAAACTATGATACAATATGTGTACTTCTCTGCAACTACCTAATTAATACTAAGGCCTCTTAGCAGCATATGTAATATTTGTATTAATTGTAGTGTAGCACCAGCCAATGGGTTTTCCTAAAATGGAATTCCCTCATGTTCACTCGTTACTATAGAAATGCAAGCCTAGATAGGACTGCCTTTTGAAAATTGGAAAAATATTAAATTTTCATGTGCATTTGATTATAACTGCTTTAGAATCATATATAGATTATAGCCTCAGAGAACAAGTACACTGGCAGAATTTCAATTTCAAAAAATGACAAAAATGTAATTGCAAATTGGATGGAAATTTCATCCTATGATCTTCTAGCTAATTTAGCATCTGAATTCATGTGTTAAAGTTCCATTTAGTAGTTATAGTTTTTCAAAATTACATTGACCAAACCCAGCATCATGTTTTTTTGTGAAAATAGTAAAAGTTCCCTCCAAAGGTTAAGATGAGGATTGCTTAAATGTGGAATGAGTAGAAGGAAAGGGCTGTATTGGATTATCCTTCATACCTTGCTTCTTGCTTTTCCACACACTGCTCAGACTCTTTTGAATCCTTTTTTTTTTAAAAGAGAAAATTGAATATACCAAGTAATAGCATGCATAAATGATAAGAAATGCACAGGCCGGGTTGGGGTGATTGTGTGTGTATTCCTGCGTCTGTGACACGCTCCTGTTCTCACTTGGTGCTGTCTGTCTGTTACAGTAATGTGCCTAGTGTCGGGAGCCTTGCAGATCCAGACTATCTGAACACACCACAGATGAACACCCCAGTGACGTTGAACAGCGCTGCCCCAGCCAGCAACAGCGGAGCAGGAGTTTTGCCATCTCCAGCAACCCCTCGCTTCTCTGTCCCCACACCACGAACCCCCAGAACCCCAAGAACTCCCAGAGGTGGGGGCACTGCCAGTGGTCAAGGGTCTGTTAAATATGACAGCACTGATCAGGGGTCACCAGCCTCTACTCCCTCTACCACGCGGCCCCTTAACTCTGTGGAACCTGCCACCATGCAGCCAATTCCTGAAGCCCACAGTCTCTATGTCACTCTGATTCTCTCAGATTCTGTGATGAATATCTTTAAAGACAGAAACTTTGACAGCTGTTGCATCTGTGCCTGCAACATGAACATCAAAGGGGCGGATGTCGGGCTTTATATCCCCGATTCTTCCAATGAGGACCAGTACCGCTGTACCTGTGGATTTAGTGCGATTATGAATCGCAAACTTGGCTACAATTCGGGACTCTTCCTGGAAGATGAGTTGGATATTTTTGGGAAGAATTCTGATATTGGTCAGGCTGCGGAGAGGCGCTTAATGTTGTGTCAGACCACCTTCCTTCCTCAGATGGAGGGAGCCAGAAAATCCCAGGAGCCACCTATAAGCCTTCTCCTCCTCCTCCAGAATCAACATACACAACCTTTTGCTTCACTGAGTTTCCTGGACTACATTTCCTCTAACAATCGCCCAACTCTTCCCTGTGTTAGCTGGAGTTATGACCGGGTACAGGCAGATAATAATGATTACTGGACGGAATGCTTTAATGCCTTGGAGCAGGGCCGGCAATATGTGGATAATCCCACGGGTGGCAAAGTGGACGAAGCTCTGGTGAGAAGTGCCACTGTGCACTCTTGGCCTCATAGCAACGGTAGGTTTCTCAGAATTCACACTGACTTGGAAAATTATCTTGGTGGGATGATAACTTACAAATTTTCTTTACTTTGTTATATGACAAAATTTTAAATTTCATTTTTTAAATAAAGACGGAACTAAGGTGAGAGCTACACTGATATTGTCCTAAATTTAAGGACTGGGGAAATGTTTTATACTGAAACACCTTTGGAGAAGAGTGATTGTGTTGTGAAAATTTCCTCTTGTGTTAATTCATATTGGAAGCCTGTGACTGCTGGATATCAACGTGGTCAAGAGTATGCAGACTGACAATTTGCACACTCTTTCTTGTTTAAATCCACCCATTCTTCTAGATCAAGTTTCTTTGATACTTCTTCCGTGAAGCTTTCTACCCATTTACGGAGTAGTTTCTCCTTCTTCTGGTTTCCCAGTGTTTTGTATCTCTTGTAACAATGACTATATTTTACTTCGTGTTGTGGTTACTGGGGCATGTCACTGGCTCTTCTATTGTTAAAAGCTCCAGTTGACAAACATTTTTGGAGTTGAGCTCTGAGACTCCTGAGAAACTTGCTCTTCCCTTCCCTTGTTTACTCATTGTCTATACTGTGGTGCATTCTGGGGAATAAAATGGTGACTGATGGAGACAAAGTACCTGCCCTCAGGGACTTTATAATCTATTCTGGAAAATGGACATTAACCAAATAATTACACAAATAAGCATATTGTTACAAACCATTACTATAAGTGATGAAAGCGTGGGGTAGGAGGGCCACCCTAGGCTGGAGGTCAGGGAAGACTTCCTGGAAGAAATAGTAGCATTTGAGATCTCAACGATGAGTACAGATTCACTGAGTAAAGAGGGTAGGAAGCAAAGAATTGTGTCCCAGGCAGAAGGAGTCATGAGTGTGAAGGCCCAGAGTGATACAGAGCTTGGGGCCTTCAAAGAACTGAAAAAAGCTTAGAGGCCAGCAGGGGCTAGGTTACCAAGATCCTTTAGAGACGTGCTGGGGATTGGGTCTTCATCCAAACAGCCCTAACAAGTCACTGATGGGTTTTATGAAGAGGCATTGACATCAGATTTTTAGTAAAAAAGAAAAAAATAATACTCTGTCTTGAATGTGAGCTGTGGATTAGAAAATGGCAGGAATGGATTTGGGGAGGCTAGGAGTTATTGCAGTAGATCAGATAAGAAACAGTGGCTTGGCTTAGTGTCCTGGCAAAGAAGTGGAAACATTCAAGACATATTTAGGAAATATTACTGCAGGACTTGGTAATGGGTTGAATTTTGGGAATCAGGGAGAGTGAGATGTTAAGGAAGACACATAGTTTTGTAACTTGTATACCCAGGCAGACAGTGATGTCATTCAGAGATACTGGAGGAAGACCAGGTCTGGGGAGAAAGTTCATACGTTGAGTTTTGGAAATTTTAAAGAATCCGCTTGAGATATCCAGGTAGATGTCAAGTAGACACTTGGGACTTCCTGGCGTGGAGCTCAGGGGAAAGGGAGTAGTTGTCATGTAGATGATAACCCAAGTAGTGGGCACAGAGGAGGAGGAAAGTATAGAACGAGAAGAGCGCCTGGGGCAGAGTTTTGCTGAATGCTGCTCTGTAACCAAGTTTTGAGAAAGAGGGGTCAACAAACATTAAAATGTAGCTGAGCTTTAAGATAAGGATTAAACATGTCTTTTGACCATAGTGAGAGCTGTTTCTGTAGCATAGTGGGAACAGAGGCCAGGCTGGAGGGGTTCCATGAGTGAAACATGGACACTGCTTCGGAACAACTCTGAGTCTTGTAGAGGAGGTTATATAAGCTTCTTAAATATAGTTTGAAATCTGGAGTAATAAAAGTGTGTCCAGAGGACAGAGATCGGTAGAGTAGGGAATGACAGGCATTTTCTGAGTAGGCCAGGCAAGCGGGGCTTCTGGGAGGTGGAGACTCCTAAGTATTCAAGGATTATACTTCATCTTTATAACTGCTTAGGTTTAATCACAATGCCTTTTACTTAGCAGACCTTAATTAATCTCTGCTGGATGAATTTATGAATTACAGAATGTATAGCCTTACCCCTAAAGAAATGTGGGTGATTATCTTGGGTGGTTCCTTGTGCTAGATAGTGGCCTTCAGACAGAAAAGCAGTCTGTGTGGGTGGCTCAGTGGTGTCATCTTTGGATATGAAGAATAGCACATTTTATTTTGCGGGGGAGGTGTGGGTTCCAAATTCAGATGCTTAAAAGTACCAGACAGATAATGTAAATGAATGATGCAAAATGATTGCAAAAAGCAATGCCCTAAATTGTGTCCTTTCACAACACACTTTCTGTTTTGTCTGCACAGGAATAGAGTTCACAAACAATTGTGTCTGCATTTATTTTTCTCTAACCTGTGGTTCTCTCGGTCTGTCGTTTTCCTACTTTTCATAGAGCCACGGGTACAAGAAGTACTTTACTTTTTTCTTTACTGTAAGGAAAAAAGAAGCACAGGCCTGAAGATACAGGCTGTTAACACTGCTTCAGTCTCAGGCCGGCAGCAGAGCTAGGGCCCTGGAGAAGTGTCTGAAGGGGACAGCTGCTCCTCGGCTCCAGCACGTGGTGGTTAGGCAGCAACGTGGGTCTCAGCCAAGGGTTGCCAAGTCTCCTGGTTTTTCAAGAGAAGCTGGACATCCAGATTTGCGTGTGAAATTTCCTAGAGAGATTTGTTCCAGAATTAAAAAAAACAGTAACTCTGTGGGCCACCAGTTTGCACCATGTGTTTGATTTAGGGACACATCTAAAAATGTCTTAAGGAATTTTAAGCACCCTGTGTTCAGATTTAATTGGTAGACCTTCAATTTCCGTTTGTGCCCCTGTCCTAATCAGCTAGAGAAGAGTATGGAAAGGTCTTCAGGAACCCAGCTGCTTTGATTCATAGCTGATCACCTCGAACTTAATTAGCTCTTTCCTCAGTTCCTTTTGAGAAGTTGATGAGCATTATGGACCTTCCCTTTTCGGGAAAAAAGACACATTTTCCTGCATGCATGCACAGTTTTGCATAGAGTTGCAGAGGTGTTTCAGATTTTAGGTTAAGAACCCCTCCTGCTAGCAGAAGGAGTATTCGTTCTGAAACCGTGACTCCCCTGCCCTCCTCTGTATACAGATGACTTCCAGTCCTGTCGCTGCTTCTGCCGTGTTTTCATGTGCCTGCCTGCATGGAAGGTTGTCTTTCTCTTTATGCATTTTGCATTTTGTGAAAATACTTTACCTTAAGAACATTTTAAAAACTTCTATTTAAGTTCTCCTTTCCTACTCATCATATAATCAAAACATTGATATTTGTAAATAAAAATAATATAATAATTAAGAAAATTTGCCGCTCTCTCTTTTCTTATGAACAGCCTTAGAAACACGTTTGAGTGATTTTAAAAAGTCAGACCTATCCATCTTTCCACTATTAAATAATTCTATAGGTAACTTCTTCTATAGAGAGTAACTTATTTCTCCTTTTATTATTTTCAATAATAAATTATAAATTTTCTTCACTTTAGAAGAAGAATATCTTTCTTCTTGATCCTAACTCAAGTATTTTAGGATCTACAAAAAGTGGAATCTGCCGCCAGTGATGTCTTTGTCCGGACTATAACTAAGGTCCCAAACGATGGCAAGCAGAGGAGAGTGCCAGTTCCCTTTGTGATTCCTGTCCTTTTCATTTCATTTCACTTCTGTTCCAGTGCTCGACATCAGCATGCTCTCCTCCCAGGATGTGGTCCGTATGCTGTTGTCCCTGCAGCCCTTTCTCCAAGACGCCATCCAGAAGAAGCGCACGGGCAGGACCTGGGAGAATATCCAGCATGTGCAGGGACCACTCACCTGGCAGCAGTTCCACAAAATGGCAGGACGGGGAACCTATGGTAGAATCTTCTCCCTGTTTAAATTCCCTCTGAGTTTTTTGCTCCATGAAAAGCAGCTTTAGTTACTGTCATATCCTTGCTTCATTGACAAAATAGAATCTTTTTCTTCATGACTATGAAGTTATATAATGTCTTTGTTTTCCTAAAGTCAGTTTGGAGTTAAGTTTTCTAAAGATCCTTGGCATAATCAAGGTCAATGAAGAAAATAATCCCTTCATAGAGTATTTATTGGATTCTCCTCATCTTCCCAATCCTCACTACATTTTCATCTGGGTGTACTCCTGAACTGGTTCTGTCAGCTTCTTTGTAGTCAGGATTGTAAAGCTTATCCTAAAGGAAATGATGTAGTGTTGCTTGGAAAACTAACTTTAACTCATTCTAGTCTTCCCTCTGATCTCATTGAACCTTTGTAAGCACGTTCTGACTCATTTAAGTAAGGTTCTTCATCAAGGGCCATTTAATTAGAAGATTTGAAGAATACTTTTAAGAGTATCATGTCAACCTACAATGAAATTTCTGATGCCAGAATTAAGGAGAAAGCACCAGGAACTTCTAAATTGTCCCAGTTGTGGGAAGCAGACTCGTGAGCACCTTCCTAAACTGCAGTGTTGTTTTAGGTTCAGAAGAGTCTCCTGAGCCACTGCCCATCCCCACTCTGCTGGTGGGCTGCGACAAGGACTTCCTCACCATCTCGCCGTTCTCCTTGCCATTTTGGGAGAGGCTGTTGTTGGACCCGTATGGGGGCCACCGTGATGTTGCCTATCTTGTGGTGTGTCCAGAAAATGAGGCCTTGCTCGAGGGAGCCAGAACTTTCTTCAGGGACTTGAGTGCTGTATATGAGGTGAGAAACATATGAAAACCGTTTTTATGACATATTTCCTCACATTGTTTCTAGTTATGACAAATTTTAAAGAACAGGTGTCTTCGAAGTAGGTCTCAAAGAAAATTTGCAAGTAGTTGGAGGGTGAAGAAAAGAATTAGCAAGTTTTTCTGGAAGTAAATTGCTTTCCCATCTTTTTATTTTATTAGATTTAGAAGACTTTCCTCTACCAGCCTTACCACACATCTTAAAATCCTGTCAGCTGTTTTTTCCCCATTTATGTGCTTGAGTTTATAAGTATTGCTCACCAGGGGAAAGTGGTTATTCAGAAGCAGAGCTTTACAAAAAGAAAGTACCTCTACTCTTTTTGAGGGGATGGAAGGAAGGGGAAAGTGCCTGAAAACAGTATAAAAATGTTTAGCTTGAAAATTTCTGAATTGAAAGCTAAGTTTAATGAATCGTGTCCCTGTTATTTTTTATTTAATACTACATTCATGCTAATACTAAAATTTTGATACAGATTAATAATGTAATAACCATAATAATGTATAAGCCAGGTAGGTAATTTTATATCTTTAGTACATAAATTCCTGTTACTTTTGAAAAATTAGAATCATGTCTATCTTTGAAGAGTAAGTGCCACATTTCTTCTGCCAATGTATGTATACACTAAGTTATTTGAACCTTATACTTCTAATATCTTTATATTTGGCAAGATTAAATGAAATTAGTGTTTATAGTGTTTAGAACTGTGACAGGCATATTATAAGCATTACAAAAGTGTTTATTACATAAGATGCCAAGGTAAATTTAAAAAATACTCCGTAATAGAACATTCACTATCTATAAATGTCTGAGTACACATGAAATAGTAAACTTGCGTGTTGCTACAAGGAAGGGAGGAGATGCTAACGTATGAGGTAATGGCATCAATTAAGCCACTGAAGGAGAGGAGACCCTTGGACATGGTAATTTCTAAACAGTGTCTGGTCCATGGATGTGTAATAATATTAAAGGACAATTACCCTAACACAGAAAACTTGTCTAAGCACTTTTAAAGCCCAGCCGTTCTCTTGAATGAAGCCTTCAATGTAAGTTACAAAACATAAAAGGATTGCCAGATCTTTTTAGATCTTAATGATTTTACTCGGATTGCTCATTTGGCAGTAATGCGTACTTGCTTAGGAAGAGTGTACACTAGAGAATTTTGTAGGGGCTTGGCAAGCCTTCAGTTCATCAGCCCTGGTAAGGGATAATAATATGGGCTCTGCTGCTGGTGACCAGGTAGTAGACTAGGTTACTTTTTGCAGGTATATTATATTAATTCTCTGCCGTAAGCCCCTGCTTAGTGTCCTAGAGATTAATAACAAAATCTCATTGTGCTAAAACAACTATTTACTTTTAAAAAGTGATCAGCATATCCACTGCTTCAATGACCTCTACTATTGGTGATCTCCAAATGTCTGTACCAATGTAGCAGATGGCTACATGAAATTTTAATGTTATCTTATGGGAAAACGTTATGAGTAGGGATTACTTAAGAGGTTTTAGTGGACATATGTCTCAGTCAGCCTTAGTAGGCAGGAATCTGGTCAGTTCTTTATTTGACTATGAGCAATCAGGTAGTGCTCAGCAATTTTCCCTTGTGCTGGAGGAACTGGCTGAGATGAAGACACATTTATTTTTCTTTAGAAGAAACATTTATTTTTCTTTAGAGGGCCTAGTCCAGGTTTTGAAGAGACAAATAGCAGTTTCATGGTACTTTATAATTACCAGAAAGGACCAGCTTATAATGTTCATTTGGTTGCATGTGTTAACGCAAAAGGAAAAGGTAAAGGCTTCCATGTGCATGGTAAAGACTCTCCCTCACTAACGATATGGAATGCATAAAGGAAGAGTTCCTGGTGGATAATGATCTTGTTTGTGGTGTCAGATGTGCAGGCTGGGGCAGCACAAGCCCATCTGCAAAGTGCTACGCGATGGGATCATGCGCGTGGGAAAGACCGTGGCACAGAAGCTGACCGACGAGCTTGTGAGTGAGTGGTTCAACCAGCCGTGGAGCAGTGAGGAGAATGACAATCATTCCAGACTCAAACTGTATGCGCAAGTTTGTCGCCATCACCTAGGTAAAGAGGAATTTATTTGGTAAAGTGGAATTTGAGAAGTAAAATAGCAAATTGCTTCTCTTTCTCTCCCACCCCCCGTTAGGGATGCAACATGATGCTTCTTTTGTCTCAAGTAATGTTAGCATTCCATTACTGTATTTATTTAGGTCTAATTTTTGCGTTCTAGGTGGTTAAATGCTAATTTTTATGTGCGTGCATATTCTTTAAAAGTTACTTAAAGTTGCCTAAATAAGTCATATCTAATTTACTCCACATTTTGAAAACTTAGTAGCATGACTTGGTATTAATTGCTTAATTTTCAACCCAGATTCCAAGAGACTCTTAGAAACTTGTAAAGCTATATACACAGAGGGGCATAATATACCATTATGGCTGTGGAATAGATGGCCTTTCATTTTTCAGTGAAGGCATATGGAATCAATCTGAAAGGAAAATGTTACAAATGGTTCTTTTTCTCTTTTTTGCAAATAAGGCAAAATTTATGCTAAGTAGCTCCATGTTCATTTCCCTGTTTGCTGAATATATAAGCGTATGTTCAGCTGTGGCGATTGTGTTTTGGGTGTCATAATCAGAGTCTTGCGGCCTGAAAGCATGATTTTTTAAAAAGTGACCATTGTGAATTTCTGATTCAGTCTGACACTGAAGAACATCACTAAAGTCACCTCTCTGCATGGATTCTTTCAGCACCTTATTTAGCCACTCTGCAGCTCGATAGCAGCCTGTTGATACCACCTAAATACCAGACCCCACCAGCAGCAGCACAGGGACAAGCTACGCCTGGGAATACTGGGCCTTTAGCCTCAAATTCAGGATCAGCAGCTCCCTCAGCTGGCAGTGCGTTTAATCCCACCTCTAATGGTAGTTCTACGAACCCTGCAGCGAGTAGTTCCACGTCTGGTTCTTCTGTACCACCGGTCTCATCATCTGCCTCCGCTCCTGTTATTAACCAGATAAGCACTACCTCTTCTTCAGGATTCAGTGGTAGTGTTGGAGGGCAGAACCCCAGCACTGGGGCCAGTTCTGCAGATAGAACACAAGGGAACATAGGCTGTGCTGGAGACACTGAGCCTGGGCAGAGCTCCTCTCAGCCCTCACAGGATGGACAAGAAAGGTACATTACTCACTGATTGAGACAGTGGCTTCGCCTTGGACCCTTTATTTCCTCTTCTCTGCACCCCTCTCTCCCCCTCAACCTCACAAGTCTTTAAATCCAGTAAAGTGCTCTGTTTCTCTTCTTCTCGAAAGAAAGTGACAGCTGTTAATCTATAGTCTCAGTGTTAAGAAATTTGAGACTTCTTATAAATTTAACTTATTATTGTTAAACTTATTAGCTTAATAGTTAAGTATTACTATGAATACTAATATTGTTATATGAATATAATATATAGGTAATAGTATGTTTTGAAGCTAATATAATGTTTTTGTGTGTGTGTGTGTGAGGAAGATCAGCCCTGAGCTAACATCTGCCAATCCTCCTCTTTTTTTTCTTTTTTTTGCTGAGGAAGACTGGCCCTGGGCTAACATCCATGCCCATTTTCCTCCACTTTATATGGGACGCCGCCACAGCATGGCCTGACAAGCGGTGCGTGGGTGCGCGCCCGGGATCCGAACCAGCAAACCCTGGGCCGCTGCAGCGGAGCGTGCGCACTTAACCACTTGTGCCACTGGGCCGGCCCCAAGCTAATATAATGTTTTGAAGCTATTACTATTAACATAATAGTATTATAAAAGATCTTTGTAGAATATAACTACAGGAGAAAAAAGGGAGTTGAAAAAGAGCTCTCCCATTTTAGAGGAGTATATTGTCATTTTCCGTCTTCTTGGTGCTCCCTGGCTTGGTTTGCCTTCATCTTGATAGTATGATACATATTAATGTTACGTATAATCTGTAATCGCTGTCCAGGGAGTCAGTGCGCTCTAGAACTGATTTATTTTGTGTAACTTACATTTATTTTGTGCGTCTCATAAGGGACTCTCTCTGCAGTGTCACAGAAAGGGAGAGAATAGGAATCCCCACAGAGCCCGACTCTGCAGACAGCCAAGCCTGTCCCCCAGCTGTTGTCATTTACATGGTGGACCCCTTCACCTACACTGCAGAAGAAGACTCCACTTCCGGGAACTTTTGGCTGTTGAGCTTGATGCGCTGCTACACAGAGATGCTGGATCATTTACCTGAGCATATGAGAAATTCTTTCATTCTCCAGGTACCTATTTGCAAGTTTATTTTTTGCTTTTGTTGTTTTTATGAAAGTAAATAGAAGTTCATGATTTTTTTTTTAAAAAAATAGAAGTACATGAAAATAGAGAAAATATTCATAATTCTATCTTTTAGATTCAGCCATCATTACCTTTAGATTCAGCCATCGTTCCCATTTCGGTGTACTTCTAGCCTTTTTTCTGTGTGTTTATTTACACAGTTGAGATCATACTTTTAATATAAGTTTTAGTCTTTTTGTACTTAACATTATTCATGAATACTTTTCCATGTTATTTAAAATTCTCACAAGCGAGATTTTTAATGACTGCATATTTTCCATATTTAACTATTCATGTACAGTTAGATATTGAATTTGTTTTTTAATTTTTCACCATTATAAATAAAGCCATAATAAACATCTTTATGTATAATCTCTTTTTCACATTTCAGGTCATTTCTTAAAGTGTATTCTTAGATACAGATACTGATAAATAATACCAAATTCCTTTCCAAAAAAGTTATACTTATTTACATTCCTTTCAGCAGTAAATGAGCATGCCCATTTGCACTGCACCCCTGCCAGCTTTATAGTGTAATAATTTAAAAAATGTTTTATACTATAATAGATGGGAAATAATGCCTTGAGTGTTTGGGTTTTGCTTGACTGTCACTTTAACTATAAAGCTATTTTATAGAATTAAAAGATTGAAATTAAAGTTACCAGACTAGCTTGTTGATAGTTGCTCATTGTTTTGAAGTTTGTCTTTCAGATATTACACAATAATTCCAAAGATGCCATGCACACTATGTGTATACAATAGAAAAATGAGAAATGTATTAACAAGCAAGTTTTTAAATTTTGGGGCATGGCAACAATAAATTGAGAATTTACCCCTAAAATGGGAACAGGGTAATTACTAAGTGATGGTATAACTTGACCAACAAAATGGCACCTCTTCTTAAATTGCTGGTATATATTTGGAATATAGGATTTTACGTCACTGGAAGAAATTAAGATTGAATTATATTATGTTTGGCATTTCTATATTTTAAAACTAAAGTTCCTCCCCCCATTCAAGTAAAGAATTTATGCAATTTCATTTTCCTACTTTCTTGTTAGTGTACTAGCTCTCAGTTTCTCCTTTTGTTTGTGTTTGTATCTATAGATTGTGCCTTGCCAGTACATGCTGCAGACAATGAAGGATGAACAAGTTTTCTACATTCAATACTTGAAGTCCATGGCATTTTCAGTGTACTGCCAGTGCAGGCGGCCTCTGCCTACGCAGATCCACATTAAATCCCTCACAGGATTTGGACCTGCTGCCAGCATTGAGATGACCCTCAAGAACCCGGAGGTAGGTAGTAAGCCAGGCAGAAATTTGCAAAAACAGTTCTTTTATGTTGAAGGTGTAAGCAAGGAGAGTTGGTCTTCTACCTTTATATATGAGTGGTAGGTTTCTTTAATCCTTAAGTTAAAGTAGAGGAGATACTTCTCTGAACTTGTAAAACTTTTTGAGAAAAGAGGCTAGCAGATTTTTGGTGTAGAACTCAGCTCAACAATACACTTACCACTTTTACTTATTAATGTTTGACTTTCCGGTATTTATTTTGGTCTTTATTTTTTGAAGCTAACCTGTGTCTGAAATCAGTAACTCTCAACCTTCTCCAGCTCTCTTCTCTCCTGGTGCAGCAGTTGTGTATGTTTACTCTGCCTGGCCCCTCATTTTCTGATGCACATTCTTACAGAGAGTTGCTTTCTCCTCCCCTTGTCTCAGTGCTTGGGTTTATAAGTGAATGCTTTTTCTCTCCATCTTCTTAAACCCACTTCCCACAGATATGTACCTCAAGGGGGATTTTAAAACACGAAAGCCAAACATGTTTTAAACAGAAGTTTTACACAATCACCTTATCCTAAAGATAGATGTACAGGGCAATGTTTAGAATTTTCAAAGCCTTCGAAAATCAGTTTCCACAACACTGTTGTATGAAAGATTACCCATTAATGAAAGCCAGCAAATACCACTTCACCATAAGAGAACTTGCTAAAAACACCAACACTGCTGATTTTAGTTGGTAATGTAAGTTTTTCTGGAAAACTCTTATGAAATGTGTATCCCTTTTATGAGTAAAAGCTTAGAAAGGAGAAGTCATGTGACTAGTTAATACTGCATTTGTGGTAACTTGGTTCAGGTCATCTTCGTCCCAAGAGAGGAAGGTGCTTAGTTACATTCACTCTGGGGTTATATAAAGTTTATATTTTTGGGGGCCGGCCTGGTGGTGCAAGTGGTTAAGAAGTGCACGCACTCCGCTGCAGCCGCCCGGGGTTCGCCAGTTCGGATCCCAGGCGCGCACCGACGCACCGCTTGTCAGGCCATGCTGTGGCGGTGGCCCATACAAAAAAGTGGAGGAAGATGGGCACGGATGTTAGCCCAGGGCCAGTCTTCCTCAGCAAAAAGAGGAGGATTGGCAGATGTTAGCTCAGGGCCGATCTTCCTCACACACACAAAAAAAATTTATATTTTTGGCAGTTTTAGATTGGTTTATTCTTTTAAGTTTGAATTTTTCACCTTTTGTCTATTTTCTAAAAGCTTTTTCTAGGATTAAAAAAAAATTTTGTTTCTACTTTTCTTATTTTGTTTCCAGAAAGTGAGTTATTGTCTTTCTTGATAAACTTAGAATCTTTTAGCTCTTTGCCTCTTGTGATTATTCTGCAGTTCAGATGCAGTTATTCCTGTGCTTTGGTAAGAAGGGATCACAATTTCAGATGATAACTAATAGTATTCTGCATAGAGGAGAGGAAAGGCTGACTGCCTAGATTAAGATATCCCAAGGCATTCTGTGACGTTTTTAAAGATGATAACGTACTGGCAGAACACCGTCAGGAGCTCATGAGATAAAGTGAGGCTTAGATGAAGATAAATGGCAAACATATGCTTTTTTTCCTTTTGCTTTGGACCAGGAAGAGAGAAGTAAACGATATGACTTTATTAAAAACAAAAGAACCAAATGTTATGAATATTTACTGAGATTTATAAGTTTTTACTTGCATTGAGGTAATGGTTACTTGCTCAGTGCTGCCTCTCCCTCAGTCTGCAGCTACAAGGTTGCACTTTCATCCAGTAAATATAGCTGAGTGTCTGCTGTGTGCCAGGCAAGGTGCTGAGGATGCAGTGGCGAACAAAACAGCCAGGACGCCTGTTTCCAGGAATTCTAATCTTTGCAGTGCTGTAGTCTCATGCAAGCACACTTTCACATAAGAAAGAGTGTATTTTAGTATTTATCATGCAAGTTTTAGAAGAAATCCTCTTGCTAGTCTCCCTTTTGTTTTTCATCTAGCGTCTCAAAAGCGCAGTTTGGAAATGATGTTTTACCTAGTGATTTATCACAGGCTATCTATTGCATCTAAAATGTTTGACATTTAACCTTGTGTTTTACACAAAACTTTTCAGGTAACCTCACCTGGACTCTTTTTTGTGAAAAAAAGCTTAATTGAGACATAATGCACATATCATAAAATTCACCCTTTTAAAAATTGTACAGTTTAGTGGTTTATAGTTTATTCACAAAGTTGTACAGCTGTCACCACTATCTAATTTTAGAACATTTTCATCAACCCAGACAGAAACTCCATACCTATTAGCAATCGTTCCTCCTTTTCCCCTCCCCCCAGCTTCTGGCAACTACTAATCTACGTTCTGTGTCTGTGGAGTTGCCTGTTCTGGACATTTTGTGTAAATGGAATCAGACAATATGTCATCTTTTATGTCTGGCTTCTTTCATTTAGCATAATATTTTTGAGATTCATCCATGTCATAGCATGTATCAGCATTTCATTTCTTTTTATGGCTAAATAATATTCCATTCTATAGATATACCACATTTTGTTTATCCATTCCTTAGTGGACGGACATTTGAGTTTTTCCATTTTTTGGCTGTTGTGAATAATGCTGCTCTGAACATTTGTCTACAAGTTTTTGTGTGGATATGTTTTCAGTTCTCTTGGTAAATACCTAGGAGTGGGACTTCCAGGTCTATGGAGAACGAATGGATCAGTGATAAGATTAGCTTTGAAACTTTGAGCAAGTCGTTACAATATCTTAGAATATGTCCAAGCCCATGTTTTGTATCCCTAAAATGAAGGAATGGGCTTAGATTACTTCCAAGGTCTCTTTTAGCTTTAAAATTCTGTAATTCCTTATTATTATTTCTTATGCTTTCTAGTTCAGGGGTCAGCAACTATGACTGTGGGCTAAATCCAGCCTGTAGCCTGTATTTGTATGATCAGCTAGATAGGAATGAGCATTACATTTTCAGAAAGAGAAGATGATGTGACAGAGACTCATAAAGCCTAAAGTAGTTACTGTCTGGTCCTTTATAGAAGTTTGCTGACTCCTGCTGTAGTTTATTAAATATTAAAATGCCTGTAATAGCTGTAAACAAAGATGACAATTAAATTTTGTCACAGTTTGACTATTTAAAATATTTGTCTTAGGTAACAGCTAATGCTTTGATTTCTTAAATTACACACACACACACACATATTAAAATAGACATAATGAAAAGTACTCAATCATAAGTGTACTGCTTGATGAGTTTTCACTAAGTGAAAATATCATGTAACAAGCACAGGAAACAAAACATAACAAGCATCCGGAAGCCTCTCTAATGTCCCTTGCAGTCACTCCAGCAGTAATCACTATTCTGACTTAGAACAACATAGTTTTGCCTGTTTTTTACTTTTATATAAATTGAATCATATAATTTATATTCCTTTGTTTCTGACTTCTTTACTCAACGTTGAGGTTTATTCATTTTGTTGCTTGTAGTGGTAGTTTTTTCATTCGCTTTGCTGTTTAATATTCTGATTATGTGACTGTATTACAGTTTAGCATCATTCACTGGCGGTGGGTGTTGAGGTTATGTTCTGTTGGAGCAATCGTTGTGATTAATACTGTAGTGAACATTCTTATCCCTGATCCTTGGGAAACACACACATGCATCGTGTTGGGTCACAGGGTGGTGTGTGTTCAGCTGTAGCGGGCATTGTCACATACTTTTCTGAAGGGACTGTATCACCAGCAATATATGCAACTTCTAATTATTCTGCGTGCTCACCAATACTTGATGTTTTCTGTCTTGTTTATTTCAGACATTCTGGTGGGTGTGTAGTGGTATCTCATTGTGGTTTTAATTTCCACTTTCCTAATAGCTAATGAAGTTCGGCCAATTTACTTTCTAAACTAGTAATTTATTTTGATAAGAAAATATTGGCTTGATGGGGTTCCCTAGCATATATCATTTAAACAATCTTTTTGTTATCTGTATTATGATTACTATTTATATAGAGAGTACTAGGGAGCAATGTATTGCCATTACTCCCTGTTGATTTCATTCAGTGCTGTTCTGGGTTTTGTTGTAAATATTAAATTGAGTGGCTTTGTGTTGATGTTGATTTTGATTTTGATTTCAGCGGCCCAGCCCAATCCAGCTTTACTCCCCTCCTTTTATATTGGCCCCAATCAAAGACAAGCAGACAGAGCTGGGAGAGACGTTTGGCGAAGCGAGCCAGAAATACAATGTGCTCTTTGTGGGCTATTGTCTGTCTCACGACCAGCGCTGGCTTTTGGCTTCCTGCACTGACCTCCATGGGGAATTATTAGAAACTTGTATTGTCAATATTGCTTTACCAAACAGGTGAGGAGCCTTGATGTTTATGGTGCATGTAATTGATGCTGTGCCTTTCCTCGGATATGAATCTATCTTATTTTCCTATGTAAATGCAGGCGGTGCTGTGTGGGTGGGTTCCTTAGAATTTTCTAGGTTTTATCCTCCTAAGTGACAACTTTGATTCACTGGGGACCCCTTCCCCATTTCTTTCTTTTTTAGATCACGTAGGAGTAAAGTATCTGCACGTAAAATTGGACTACAGAAGTTATGGGAATGGTGCATAGGTATTGTCCAAATGACGTCTCTACCCTGGAGAGTTGTAATAGGGCGACTTGGGCGTCTTGGCCATGGGGAGCTTAAAGGTGAGAAATACCTGAAGCAGTGGGTACAGGAAACAGAGGAAAAGGGCTGAGCTAACGTCATTAACCGAGATGAGGGAGAAAATTGTAAAGTTGGTAGTAAGAATAAAGCAGATTGTATTTTCTATTCTTTTAAATGTACAGGATAAACCAGTGGTTTTTAAACTTTTCATTAGCAACAAAACCATTTACCCAAAGAAAATCTTAAATATTGAAGTCCAATACATAAAACAGAAAAAGAATGTTTTAATATAGAAATGATACTTAGTAAATTAGAGTTTCTAACATTTATTTATCTATTGAGTCAGCAAGAAGTCAGTTTTAACATGAAAATTTTATATCAGAGATTATGGATGATAGTAGAAGTCATATGTAAGAACAGCCTTCAGTTTCTTTCATTCATTTATTTTTGGTGGTTAGTGGTGATGAGTTTTATATTTCTTTCTTTTGTTTTGGTGCTACAATAGCAAGATAATCCAGATTTACGAGGACAGGTAGTTGCAAGTTGGCGCAGTCTATTCCATTGCCACCGTCTGATATTCTTCAGTCTAGAAGCTTAAGAGAATGGATCTTTTTAAAGTTGCATCCCTAAATATATCTACCAACTGCTTATATTCCTTATCATAAATATAACAGGCAGTCAGGAAGCACTGAAAGTAACTGTAACATAACCCAACTGACCACCGGCAGCTGCCTGGCCTGGCATTGAGCCAGCTCATTTACTGTCCTAGGGTAGCTGCTTGTACCGTTTTACATGAGCAGTGTGAACAGGCCTAGATTATTTTTTTTAAAGTCTTATTAATTAATGACACATTGATGAAAAGTTCAGTATATGCATATAGATAGGAGAAGTCTTTTTCTAAAATCTGCACAAAAGCAAAGCATATGTCAACAAATGAGCTTGGTGGTTTTGTGTGTGCAAGTATATTAGAGCAGAGTTAGCAGACTTTCTTTGTAAAGAGCCACATAGTAAATATTTTTGACTTTGCAGGGCAGCTGGTCACTGCTGCAGCCGCTCAACTCTGCCATTGTAACGTCAAAGCCATAGACAATACCCAAGTGAATGAATATGGCTATGTGCCAATAAGACTTTGTTTACAAAAACAGGTGGTGGGCAATTTGGCCTGTGGACCATAGTTTGCTGACTTTTGCATTAGGGTGTGTGTATTTCTTTACGTGAAATTTATATCAGGTATTTGTGGAACCCCTAAATTAAAACCCCTGATACCGATATAACTTGCATTGTAACAAGTGCCTGAGTGAGTTAACTATTGGGTTTTAATTGCAGTTTATACAAATATTACATAATATGTATTTAAAGAAATGTTTTCTTAGGAATCTCTCCTACACAAAATTTTTTAGTAACAAATTATACTGTAGACTAATAGAAAATATTACCCTTTTCATTTTTTAAAGAATTTCGTGCTTATAATGAATCTTGTATTAGTAGCCTGGAGGTCTAATACAGTAGGGGATTCATCATTTCATTTCTGTCAGAATTCCTATCTTCTCTCCTAGTATGCCTTTTAGTCAATCTCATTTCTTAAAGGCTTTGGGCTACTCTTAACCCTTGGGAAAAGTTAGAATATAATAGGAAAGAAGAAGAGGGGATAAAATGTAGCATAGTAGTCTAGTCACTTGGTGCTTTGGAAAATTATTAAGGCCATTGCCTTCCCTTTCTGATATTTTAGAAGGGACACACTCTTCTTATCTCTTAGAAGAGAGGAATGTAAGTGTGACCGAGGACCCCATCAAAAGATTGAGAGAAAATGTACTTTCAAGAAATAAAAACATGGAGAAGAGCCTAGTGTACAGGAAATCAGTTTGCCAATCTACAGTTCCTTCCTTTGGGGATCCAAGGTCTGCCACCACCTTGCATTTCTCTGGGACAGTATCAGATATGAACCTGTAGATTTCAGAGTCAGCTTTGTGAATTTCTGTTCTTCACCACCAAAGTGTGATAAAATACTTATCCTGCCTTTTCCTTCTTATTTGGTTTTAAATACAGAACTCACATTTGTTTGATTTTTCTGTAGTTTTTAAAAATGCATTCTTAACGTTCCTGGCCACTTTTATTTCAGCCACTTCAGTTTGAGGTTCATTAGGAATGTGAAATATGAAAAAAGTTTTCCTTTCACCTGCTGTTTAAGGGGAGAATAGCTTGTTTGAAAAAAGTGTGTGGAGGCAGAGAAGCCTGCAGTGGAGGGGCATTTCATCAGTGGAACGTGACGTGACAGCAGTGCGCTGCTGCAGGAATATGACATGCTTCGTGTGTGTCTGTCAGGGAGGTCAAAAGAGAGAACCAAGTACTTTACAATTCCCAGAGTAACAAAACCCTCAACAGTTCTCTGAGTAGACATAGTGCCTTTGTTTGGAAGCAGTAAACACATTAAGAAGAAAATTTGTGCTGACTTGTTAATCTGAACAATTAGCGTTTGGAGCACTTGACTTGCACCCATTGGTTATCAGCTCTTTTGGGCGTTCTGAGAAGGGTTCCCCTTCCTTTCTGCTGCTGCTTGCCTTTCATGGGAACAACCAAACTACAGTAGTAACAAAACGGAGTTTTGCCCCCAACTGTGCTCTCTTCTAAAGAGAAGTGCTGATAGCGACAGTGAAAGACGCAGAGCTGGAGAAGGAGAAAGAACAGACTGGCACTATCATCAGAAAGTGTTTGAAGAGTCTGAATCTTCCTGGGGCTGTGCTGGCCTCTCACAGGTCATTTCAGACATGACTTCAGTCTACAGGATAGGAGCCCTTTGTTTCTTTGTTAATGAAGTGTAATAGAGGTCAAGTAACATTTTCTTTGTAGCAAGGAGGGGAACCTGTATACCCGTATTCCCTTTAGGGCCCAATCCTAGAAATTCAATTACCAGGCAAAACTGGTGAAATGCTCAAACCTCCTATCAATATGAATTTCTAAAGACTGTGTGTGACTGTGATATTTGATTTCAGATTGGAGTATCCTCCTTGGAGAATGTTCACTACAGACAATCAGCAAACGGCTCAAGGACGTGTGCCGGATGTGTGGAATCTCTGCCGCAGACTCTCCTTCTATCCTTAGTGCCTGCCTGGTTGCCATGGAACCCCAGGGGTCCTTTGTAGTGATGCCAGGTAAATCTCTTCTTGTCAGTTTCATTCATTAGGTATCACATCAGTTCAGTCCATTCAAACTTAAGTCCACAGACAAGTGTAGAATATATCTTTATTGTCTTTATAAGAGAAGATTGTACTTAGGGCTCAAAAATGGAAATCATTTAGTCTCTTCCAAGGGGAATGGTTTGTGATTTTATTATCTTTGTTGACCATAGCTTGGGGAGAGCCTAAGTTCTGGACGTGACTGAGAGCTCTTAGAGTCATGGCTAATTACTGTTGCCCGACCCCAAATTGTTGTTAGCGTATGAAATCACCCTCCAAAAACTACTGAAGTGGACACCAGCTTGATACATAATTGAGCATCCTTTTGAAGACACGTATTTGACAGAATCTCCAGGCAGCCTTGAGAGGATATGGCTGAGGATGAATGGCGAGGCAAATAAAGGTGAAGCATTTAGCACAGTACCTGGCCCACAGTGAGCTCTCAGTAAATCTGACTGCCAGTATGTGGATAGCAAAAACATTGTTGCCACAGAAGTTTTAAAAAGTTAGCAACTAAGCTATTTTATAATTTTATAACTAAGCCGTTTTATACTTTTTAAACCTGTTTTTACCATCCACATATTTCTTTGATCAAATGGGAGACCCTGTCCGCTCACTCCCTGTAAAAGTCAATAGTGTTGTGGTGTGAGAAGGAGGTTACTTGTCATCAGTCCAGTGAGAGACGCTGGCCTGCTTGTTAGACCTTAGGTCAACTGTTGCCTGCGCCACTGGGGCAAATTACATAACTTCTTTGTGCTCTGTCGTCTTCGTGAAATGAGGGTGATAGTTCCTACCTCAGTGTGGCTGTGATGACTGAAAGAGATGACAGGCATAAAGTGTTCACGTAGTGAGTATTCAATAAATGTTAGTTATAACAATTATTAGTTGAATGGTACCATTTCTATAGAATTGTATCGTTTAGGAGAACAGTACTTAATTTAGTGAGCAACCACAGGAGGGAAGAAAGTGGGAGATTTTTTTGTAGAAATACTTCCTGGGGCCGGCCCTGTGGTGGAGTGGTGAAGTACGGCGCACTCTGCGTCGCTGGCCCGGGTTCACCGGTTTGGATCCTGGGCACAGACCTACACCGCTTGTCCACCATGCTGTGGCGGAGTCCCACATACAAAATAGAGGAGGACTGGCACAGATGTTAGCTCAGAGCTAATCTTCCTCAATGGAAAAAAGAGGAAGATTGGCAACAGATAAGTAATGAAAACATATTTGGTGGACTCAGTCCAGTTTTATCTTACCCCTTCCAGTGTGAAATGAGCCTTGGGCTGTCATAGCTATATGCTCTGACTCAGTTTCTTTGAAGTTATTTAAACAGTTGGGCTCAGCTTTAGGTGGGTATCCATCATGACAGTTGTGTCAGACTCAGATCACTGCAGCTCACTTCCTCTTAAAATTTCATTCCTGGAGTTGTTTACTGCTGCACAAAAGGAATTGATACAATTCTTTTTTTTTTTTTTTGAAGATGCTGTCACAATGGGTTCTGTTTTTGGCCGAAGTACTGCACTAAACATGCAGTCATCTCAGCTTAACACCCCTCAAGATGCTTCTTGTACACACATCTTGGTGTTCCCAACATCATCAACCATCCAAGTGGCTCCAGCCAACTATCCCAATGAAGATGGATTTAGCCCCAACAATGGTGAGTGGAAGACCCTATATGGATAGAGCTCCACTCCTCAACAAGACACAGAGCTGGAGTATGGAGTCACTGGGCTGCTGCAGTTTTCTTTGTTGTAATAAACAATATGAAATATGAAGAGGGGATTGAAGGGTTGAGAATCTTTTTGGTTTTGAAGATTTAATTTGTACAATTACCAAGACCAAATAAATAACTTTCCTCTCCTCGGTAGTTAACTTTCTCCTTTTTCATTAAAGGCAAAAAAATACTATTTGTTAGGTAGTGTCCTACACATGGGTGTCACTCTTTCAATAATTATTTCTTGATCTATCTTGAAATCTGTGAGGACTGCTAGGCGAAATGAAGATAGCACCTGCCTTTAGCTAATCATTGGGAGTCTAATTTGCTCTAAAACAACTCCTTATTTGATTATTCTTAGGTTTTTTTGGTTTGAATATCTATTAAGGCATTTGTTAAGAAATGGTTATTTATAAACTGTAAAATGCTCAATATAATGCAGGCATTTGCATTATTTTTTGAAAAATTTTTAACAGCTACCAGCATTTACTCCTGTTAAATGGGGTGGGAAAAAAGATGCCATACTTTATATATATATGTATACCATATATAGTATGATCACAATGGAATAACAAGAGAAAAAGAAAGAATCATAGCAAAAATGTTCATGCTGATTGGGTTATGGGTGATGGTTTTCCCCTTTTCTTTCCAAATTTTCTGCTGTAAGTATACCTTACTTTTATAATGTAGGAGAGACTTTTTTAAAGAAAACATTGTGCTGTGATCTGCTGTTGGAATAGGCCTGCAGTTTCAGTGAGGTCCACGCCGATTAACATGCATTACTTCAGCTCCAGTATTTTAGATGCTAATTGGATGCATAGATGGAGTCTGCTGTTTTCTTGGATGGTGTCAATTTTAACCTCGTTTAATAATTAAATTGCTTCTTTAGCTGTTTTGCCATCTTTTTATGTGCCTTTGGAGGCTATACAAAGTGTTGGAGTTTTAATTTATGTTCTTTATTTCTCCATTCTGTTAATACTTCACATTAGGAGATCATTGGAGAGAGTACAAAATGAAAGAATACTTTGCAGAAAGAGCACCTTGCATCCAGTAGGCATGCATTAAATCTTACTAAGTTGTTAACAACACATGTCTCTAACAGTCACAGGTGAACAAAAGAATATGTCGGTTAAGTTGAGGATATGGATTATTTTTTTAATTTTGTGCTTGTTTTCCCTCCCCTCTAGATGATATGTTTGTTGACCTTCCATTCCCAGATGATATGGACAATGATATTGGTATATTAATGACTGGGAACCTCCATTCCTCTCCCAACTCCTCCCCAGTCCCCTCCCCAGGCTCTCCTTCTGGAATTGGCGTGGGCTCTCACTTCCAGCATAGTCGGGTAAGGATGATCTGAAGTAGGTTGGTGAAAACCAGCTCAGCCTGCAGGAATAATCCTCTAGAAGTGTCATCAGCTTTTTACTACATGCACCTTTCTTCTCGTTAGTCTTGGTCCCTGGTACGAGAGAAATAAGCGTGGGAAAGCAACTTGGTAGTTGTTCCATTTTGACTAATGGCAGGAATTTGGGAGAAATGTATTATTATTCCTGATGAATGTGTTTTATCAGAAGCATAGTCCTATTATAACTGCAAGAGTTTTGTGCAATTATTGTTTTCTTAGCAAAAATTAGTTTTTGGTTGCCTGTTGCTTCCCAGTTATTTTTTATTTTTTGCCAAAATAGTGGCTTTTCAGAGGCTAGTTCAGCAGCGCTGCTTACGTAACGTGCAGAGGACCTGGGTTACTTGAGGAACACATTGTTGGTGGCTGATTATTCTGAGAGGAGCCTGCCTGTTCTTGGTTCCTGCCGTGGTGCCTGTATTTGTGCAGACCCGATCTTCTCTATAGCCAGCCTGCAGGAGTGCCAAGAGTCTGCAGGAGGTTGGTTTTGGAGAAGTGTCCAGATTAATGCCAGGGTGTTAAGGAAAAAAACCAGAGCTTACAACTAGTTTCATCTTTAAATATCCCAGGGATTTTGGAGGTGGATTAACAGAAGATTGAAGAGTTAAATGTTCTGCCGTAGTTTGTGTTAACTTCCTTTAAAAGCTGGATGATTCACGCCTTATCACTGTATTATACTTCTTATTTAAAATGTTATGAGATTGAGGGGTTAAGACACAGAAAAATAGCTACGTCTAATATCTTAAACTGGACGAGGGTAACCCTGCTCACACTCCTTTAGACACAAAGATGTACTTAGAGGACTCAGGTTTCTGTTAGGTGGGACTTTTATTGCCAGCCCTGAGTTCACTGAAGGACAGTCAAGAGAAGGAAGATTTAAAACTTTAGTCGGTGAGCAGATGAACAGGGAAGGGCAACTCAATAGACTGCTCTCATGTTAACTGCCGGCCCCCCATTTCCTCATCTGGAAGGAAGAGATTTTAAGTGTCTTTATTTCCTCCACAGTCATTTGCCAGTTCATGACAGTTTATTGGTTCATTGGAGATTGTTGTGACAGGAACCCAGAGCACAGGTTTTACACTGGGTAGTTTTAATCAGGATTAATGAATTCTGGAGGCAAATAGTGTAGCAGCTAAGAATGTGTGCCCTGAAGTTTGATAAATCCAGCTCTGAGTGACAGCAGTACGGCTTACTAGCATTGTGACCTTGGACAAGCTTACTTCACCTTTCATAGCCTTAGTTACCGTATCTGTGAAATGGAAATAATAGCAACTACCTCCCGGTATTGGTTGTTGTAATTCAGTTTATCCATTAACAAAGAACTGGTAATTGAAGTGGAATGTTAGTTTTGTAAGAAACAGAGGTGGGCTGCATTTTCTCCCTTTGTTGGAGCCTCAAGCCTTCAAGTCGTTAATTGCATGTCACAGTTTAAACAGCGCTGTTCTGAAGCTGGTCATGTGGCCTCTTTCAGTCTTGAGCACCTGCAGCCAGGTGACCCGGGAGAGGCTTTCAGCATTTCCTCTTTCTGAACCATTAAACATTCTTTGACATCCAATTAAGACATTATAACAGGGGAAAGAACTTGTTCAAGGTTGCAGTAATTTTTATTTTTTAACCATCTCAGAATAACCGTCTCTCAACTTGATGTAGTGGTTGAGGATTTTTTTTTCCCTCAAAACAGAAGGCTTTTGAAAACAAACAGATTACTTATTATTGCTTGCATAAAAGATACATTTTCAACTCTTGAAGCTAGCTAAAAGAATCAAAGATGAGGAAAATGTCAATTGCAGAAAGGCTCTTATTAAGGGGATTACTGCCTATTAATATAATTAATAAGGCTTCCTCACGAGCAGATCTTACCCTGCTGGCAGGCCAGGAATATGAGTGCCGTGCACATACTGGTGAAGCGTGTTACATTGTCCTAGTCAGTGTGGGTGACAGTAGACGGGCAAGTGTGCCCATGTGTTTGTGGCTGGTTGCTGGCGAAAGAGCACAAGAGTGTGGTGGTATCCTCGGCTGTCCGGGGTTCCACTCTTTCCACTTTTAGTTTGTTACCTAATGGCACCACAGAACAGGTTTTACATTCTGCAGAAAAGAAACCAGAGAAAATAAATCTGTACGTACTTGCCTACTGTTGTTAGTTTTGTTGGTACCTTCTGCCTGAGCCGTAGTCTTCATCAGATATCTGTGTGTGCAGCAGACAGTGCCTCTCTTACCGTTCTCCATCCCCTGGTGTTTTTGTGTGCATGCTGCCAGACAGGGAATTAGTTGCTACGGTGTACAGGGTGACTTGATAAAAAGTTGATTTTCAAAGCGTTGTTTGAAGTGATAAATGCTGATCATGCTTTTGGGACTTTGTTTTTCAGAGCCAGGGCGAGCGTCTTCTTTCTAGAGAAGCGCCTGAGGAGCTGAAGCAGCAGCCTCTGGCCCTTGGATATTTTGTGTCAACTGCCAAAGCGGAGAATCTCCCCCAGTGGTTCTGGTCCTCGTGTCCCCAGGCTCAGAACCAGTGCCCCCTCTTCCTAAAGGTTGGTTTAGTGTCATGTTTGAAGTTTTGGGGGATGAGTGACATGCTTAAGTTCAATTTTGGTTAGAAATTTATGTCTTAGTCACCATAGTCTTATTCTGTTCCTTGTTTCTCTCACATCTACTTATAGTCTGAGGATATTTTAATTACAGTTGTAGGTGGAGAGTGGAATTTAGGAGAGGAACCCAAAACCATATCACAAATCAATGAATCACGTTACCCCAAGGAGGACACTTTGTGGGGCCCGAAGGGTACATCTAGGGTGGGCACATGGTTCTGTGTAACAGTCTTTCTCCAAGTCCCTATCACGTTGCCATAAGAGCCGGTGAGCCCGAGTGCAGATGATGATAACTAGCTGTCCTCTTCCCCCCGCCATGGGCTGTCAGTGTTCTTCATTAGAGTAGCACCAGAGTCAGCTACAGAATCCCATGTTTATGCTTGCTTCTGTCTGTCTATTCCTTGGAACCTTTTAATCCAAATTAAGGATTAAAAACAAAAAATTTCCCACTTCCAGTTTGGATGGAAGAACCTAGAATGAAATCCATTTCTCACCCACCGGTTGACATACTCTCTTGGCAGGTCTGAGGGGAGAAGGCCTTGGTTCTGGTGGGAAGGCCAGATACTACAACCCCACACATTTCCCTTTTGATGTAGCAATCCCACCTCTAGAAATCCATTCAAAAGATACTGGGGCAAAAACAGAAAATGACATATGTAAAAGATTAGAAACAACTGAAATGTCCATCAGTAAGGGACTGGTTGAATAAGCTCTAGTACATCCTTACAGTGGAGAATTAGTCACCCATAACAAAATGAGGAATATTTTTATATACTCATTCTGTGGCGTATAGATTACCATGGAGTAATCAGTAAGATACACACACACACCCACCCACCCACATATGTATACACATATCTACTTATATTTTCAGAAAGAAACAATGGAAGGTTAAACCAAAAACAATTGAAGCAATTTTCTTTTTCTAATGACTTTAACATATTATTATGAAATCAAAGAAGTTATGTAAAAACTCATGTAATCTTTATTTTGAATTAGAATTATCAGCATGAGGTTAGATTTATGTATTTATTTTTTAGATTTATTTTTTCCTCTCTATAAAAGTATACACATTTTTCAGCTCTGTGTACTGAAAAAGCTTAGCGGCCATGACAGCTTAGTAGCAATAAACACCTTAATTGCCACGATTGTTGTTCCTAAATACCATTTCTCGTTTAAAAGTTTACTGTTTAACATTCAAAGAGTTCTTTGAAGAAGTGACTGATTCCAGTTTTGAAGTAAGAAATACTCACGATGAACCTGGGCCATCTCGTCACACCTGAAAGCAGAGAAGTTACCTAAGATTATTAGGGCCCTATCAAAGAACCCAGGAGCCAATCTGGAGAGGTTTCCATTGCCCAGGGATGGGACAATTTGATCATCAAAAAGCATGATGACAGCAGTAGATTGCAACAAATCCATGAGTTCATAATTATACTGAAAACAAAACAATTATCAGTCACCTTTTGAAGCTGCTAGAGCAGCAACTCATTAATCTGAAAATTGAAAAATAAAGAGAGAAGATCAAGCATTTATATTCCCTCTCCTTTCCATATTATATTTCTTAGTTGTTTAATAAAGTAATCTGTGCTAAAACCACTAGATGAAAAATTGATGGAGAGCTTCCTAGTGGATGGAGCATGCTGGGACCTACTGAATCCAGTGATCAGTCCTATTACTTCATGGGAGACAGCAGACGTTAGGTGCCTTTTGATGTGATGCGATAAGAAGGGTGCAGCACCAGCTATGAAGTGTTCTTCCCCTCCACCTCCCACCAAAGAAAAGAATCTGGACCTAATTCAGCCTCTAGAACTAACTATTGATTCGTGGGAAACCAGAAAAGGACACCACCACCACAAGGCCGCAGTCAGCCATACCCAGTCTCTGAAGGCTGCTACAGATGAAGACCTGAAGAGGCACATCGTTTAGACATTTGCAGTTCATTTGCAAAGCTAGCTTTTTTTTCATCTCTAGGATGTGGGGTTATTTGGGATCACATTGGCATTACTGAGCAGTTTAAAGTTCATAGACTCATAGAAGCCCTGACTTCTAAGAGCGAGAGAGCATCTGCTCTGGCAGACATGGCCTGCCTCTTTTCTCCCCATGGTTAACTAGACCAGGAAGGTAACTATCTCTATTCTTTCGCCAGGCTTCGCTGCATCACCACATTTCTGTAGCACAGACGGATGAACTTCTCCCTGCCAGGAATTCTCAGCGGGTTCCACATCCTCTTGACTCCAAAACCACATCTGATGTTTTAAGGTAGATTCAGACCTGGTCAGCATAACAGTACAGTCTGAAATCATATTCCTTTGCACTTGTTTTTCCAAGGTGTCTTAACTGAAGTGTGGTATTCATGGAAGAGATGCTACTTTCTGTGCAGTGGAGCACTGTCTGATGAGCCAGTGAGAGCCACAGTCCCCCGATATGTGCATAGGACAGTGTAGCATGCTTTGTTAAATTAGATAGTTGTGTGCAAGCACAATGGCCCCTGCTTCCTGTTTAGAGGAGGCATTTCACGGTGATGAAAATAGGTCAGAATTAGAGGGTGAGTAGTTTGAAGACAGAGTCTGGAACTTAAGGCACTTGGCTTTGAAAACATTTTTTACCTTTTCTGACGTAGATTATATAAATAAAATTAACTAGAATATAAATTCCATAGTTGGGAAATACCTCCTAGAAGTGTGTACCAATTCTCTTGCACTTTAGCAGGCCGTAAATGTTCTTCATGTACCTTGAGAAAATATATACACGTTTTCTAATAATCAGATGATTGGGGAGTTGTAGTTAAGCAAGAAGCTGATCACCGTGGTTTTGGCTTCCAGGGCCTCTAGAGCAACACTGTCCAAAGGAAATACAATGTGAGCCACAATCTGATTGAAACTTTTCTAGTAGCCACATTAAAATAGTAAAAGGAGATCTGTGAAGTTAATTTTAGTAATAAATTTATCAATCAAAAAGATATCAAAATAATATCAAATATATCAAAAATAATCATTTCAACAGTAATCAGTATAAAAATATTTGTGAGCCATCTTACATGCTTTTTTTAATACTAAGTCTTTGAAGTCTGGTGCCTGTTTTATGCTTGCAGCATATCTGAATTCACTTGTGGCCAGTGGCTGCCATATTGGACAGTGCAGGTCTAGAAGCAAGGGGGAGCATGAGAAAAAGAACTACGGAAAAGAGCTGGGGGCAAGTGCAGGAATGACGTCAGGCCTTCTGCTGACGTCTGGAATGTTAGAATTTGCAGCCCAGCCTTGCCTCTACCGTGCCTCGTGCCTGATCTGTGTGTTCCCTCCGGCAGGTTTGTTTTGGAGCAGTACAACGCCCTGTCCTGGCTCACGTGCAACCCGGCCACCCAGGACCGTACCTCCTGCCTTCCCGTCCACTTTGTGGTGCTCACTCAGTTGTACAATGCCATCATGAATATACTTTAATTGGAAAAGCACTTGTTCTCTCTGGCTCAGTTCCTTCTCCCGCAACCTCAGTCCAAGGAACCTGCTACACTCTGCAAATACCCACATCCTCTTCTTGAGACCACTCTCCACAGTCCTGCACTGTGATTCCTTCTCAGCAGGCACATGTCATTTCTGCAGTGTTCGTTACTAGAGTGACTCATTGACACTTCTCTAATGGACCTGGAAACTTCCATAAGCAGTGACTTTCAGCCAGTGTTATGGTGTGTGCAGCCCCAAACCACTGGTCCACAGGAAGTTTTTTTTGTTGTTGGTTTTTAAGAGGGAAACAGAAGAGACGGTATCCTTTTGCACAAGAGTCTGTGTTTTCAGTCTCTGTTTAAAAATAAGGGCAGTTTAGCCCTTTGGATGAAATCCTCTAGTTATTGGTCTATGGCCTGTGGGTTACCTGAACTCCATAATCTGGGACTTTTTGACAGTAAGAACCAGCTCAAGTACGTGATTTCGTAATGGGGTTTCTGTCTCCCTAGTGCTCCCATCTAGGTTGGCGTGAGTGCTTTGGTTGACTTCATACCTGTGTGTAGATACAAAAGGTCTGGAGACATCTTCATTTTGTTTATTTATTTTAAGTTGTTTTGTCATATAGTTTTTGTGACTTACTTTTAATTTTTTTAATTCGCGAGGACCAGGTACAGTAGCTGAAACCCAACTCAGATCTACCATAGGATTCTTTGAGTACGTACCTCTGTCCTAGAAGCCGGAAAAGGAGTGGAAACAAACTGGGGAGACCATGCCTAAAAGTAATATATTTAAAACGACCCGGCAGTGGGTTTTGTTCAGAACAAACTGGGTAAACATTCTGCCATGTTCCTTATTAAAGTGGCCAGCGTTTCATGAAGGTTAACATTTTTATACAGAAGGCAGTCAAGCTCAACCCAGAGCCATGGAGGCAAGTACCTTAATTAGTTTTCTATAATCACAGTGGGAATATATTTTCTAGTGAATTCTTATTGAAAGCCAGGTCTCTCCTCTCATTAGATCAAAAGGGACTCATGTACATATCACAATCGAAAGTGTTTGCTCATAAAATCGGTTATAAATATGGTGAATTTTTTCTGGACCATAGGAATATTATTTCAAAGAAATATTACAACTTAACCATAAAATTAGTACTTGAAGTTGAGCCTCCGTGGTGGGACCTTTTTTAAAAAATGCCTTTTTAAAGCATTAATGGCTAATTGAAGTATTTTATGACTCCTCATTCCGGGCCCGAGAGGGTTGTCTCTAAGACTCCGTTTCTAACCCTTGCATTGCTGTGCGTGTCTGTCTGAGGGCAGTGGGCATGGGCTTGCCTCCCGTGAGCCGCTCTGATCAGGCTGTTGAGCTCTAGTCATCTGTGGAGAGAATCATGCAAATTTTAAAAGTTCTTCCAAGAGACTTCCATATCCTGGTTATTAACAAAAAAAGGAAAAATGTAATAACTGATATGATTTTGTAAAAGTATTTTTCTTGAAATAATCTAACGTTTAAAACATTATATTAAAAAAAAAGTTGTGTGGTGGGAATGTGAAATCAGAGAAATAACTTGTAAATGGGTAATTTTGTTCTCTGTGCCACCAATTGAAGGGGGGTTGACTTTCGCAATGTATAGGTTAAAAAAATCTGATATATCAAACCATTTGTATCTAATGTGTACAGTGTAAAATTGACTTTAAAAATATTGCAGTGCTATTTTTTCTTAATCAGAAAGGAAAAATTCTCAAGGCCTTTTGAAGAGCATAAGATGATGAAGATTGTAAACTTGTATAAAATTATCTTGGTGAGAAGACAAATTGTAAAGTAGATATTTGTAATCTTTTACCACTTTGGGGTTGCTTTTTTCCCAGAATTCATCAGAACTTTGAATTTTTTTTTAAAATGGGCTGTTTTTAATGCAGGGGCTTTTCTTCCCTAGAAACCCAATTCTAAGCAAAAAAAAAGATAAAAAAACCTACAAAAAACAAAAAACCCCTACAAAAATTAAAAAAAAAAAAAAGGCAGCAAAGGGTAGTTTTCATCTGGTGTCTTTTATTTAAGTTTTTTAAGTTAAGAAAAGCTGGTGACATATTTATACGTTTTTGTGCAAAAATAAATGAATGGCAATAGATTTTAAAAAATCTTATTATGTACTTCTGTGTGAAAAAGTCTGTATAATATTTCCCTTAAATATGCATTATTTTACTTGTGAGTTTTTTACTGAATTAATCTGAAATGTACAAGCCCTGGATTTGCTACAGAGTGAGAAGTTATTTTATTTTTTTTTATTTTTAATTTTGGAAATTCTGCAGAAATCAGAACTCTTCCCATGGTTTGAACTAAAAAGGGGAGATGGGGAGGGGACAGGGGTGGGGTTGCCCAGCATGCTCGTGTGTATATTTCAGAACCTTTTTTAAATGTAAAAGCTGTACATTTCTGGGAAGTTCTGAATTTCTTTTGTTTCCTTTTTTCCTTCAAGCATTTTGCAGTGAGCTTCTTTTATATATAGCAAACAATTTGAAAGAATACAAAAATATGTGAAGTTCATTTAAAAAACTACAGTATAGCGCTGGTACAGTACACTAAAAGACTTTGATAAAAAGAAACAATACTAAAAGGCCTCCATTTTAAATGTCATTCATATATACCTTGTGAATGAGAGCTATATACTTTTACACACTTTTTTAGAGGAATAAATTATTGAATTACTGAAACTTTGAGTGGCTTTTTTCCCCTCCTATCTTGCCTTTGTAATAAAAATGATGTATGCCTGTTCAAAAGGTGTATGTATTATGGATTGAACAATCCTTGACTAGGAGCCAGGCTCTCCCTTCCATGGTAAAATGGACATAGAATTTTACTGCCCTAATCACCCCATCCAACAGCTGTTCTCAGATGGTATTCTCATACTCCAAAGGACAAGTCACACCCGTGCGTGTGCACACACACACACACACAGCATTGAATTAGGATTCCTGTTGTTTAGTTCCTTAACTGTTACAGTAGGTCACATCTAACTGTGTCTCCCACCTCTAAGATTGCGGTCAATCCTAGAACAAACTGCAAGTCTGTCTTCCACTTCCTTTCTCTTCCCAGTCCCAGCCAGTTTCTTTTTGATGTTCCTTAGAAATAACAGACGTCTCTCTTTGCTGTTTTCCCGATTGACAGGCTGGGGACAGTAGTATGTCATCCAACATGCCCGAATACAAGCCAGGTGCTTGCTGACTGCCTGGCACCCACTATGTTGTTCTCTTCTCCTTGGGTCCATCCAGTAGGAAAAACCACATGCTCTTGGGACAGAATCTCTTGCTAAAATGGTAAACCCCAGGACTTGGCAGAGCTTACAGTCAAAATTTGAATAAATCAAAAGACCTTGCTTTTAGTCTTCCTCCATCTATTTAGAAATGTACATTGTACTGAATCTAACATCGTCTGAATCTAGAGATAAAACTGTGGAGACTACGCAGCCTCAGTTATTTCATCTGCAAATGATGGATGAGGGCAATGCTGTGAGAAATGCTTTGCAAACTGAAAAGCCGTGTCCACGTTATTACAGTTGTACTGTTGAAGAGGGCTGAGAACAGGGAGGCCACATGTTCAGTTAAAAGATAATACTGGTCTCTGTCTCATCCAGTCACTATTGCCTTCAGTATAGGTCACAGCACTGTTTGTAATGCTGCTTGCCAAAAGTATTATTAAAGAATCACACCCTTCCTAGATCCTGTGTAATCAGGTCAGTGTGATGGTTCCTATGTCCCTGTAATAATCAGAATTAGGTGGTATTTTGACAAGCATCCATTAGCTTAGATACTTTGCTCATACACTGGGTTGTACTTTATTCAATAATTAGTGAGTGTTGGTTTATTTGTACTAGGAACTTTGTTTTTATAACCACTACTAGCTGTACGAATTGGGCAACAGAAGCTAAGTCTCTGAGGTAGGAACAATTATTTATAGAATGCATTTAAACATTTTGCAAATTAGTTGTAGATAAATCTGACTTGGCACTCAGGAACCATCAGCCTCCAGCCATCTGCATTGCTCAGATTCTGCTTAACACTAGTTCACCCCTTCCAGCGATGCCGTAGCATAGTTTTATGTCCCTGCAATTCAGAAAGTCACGGGGCCAGGGATCTGTTCCCAACTGGTATCAAAGAGCGAATGAAAATGTTTATAGAAAGTGTAGTTTGGGGGCCCGCCCGGTGGTGTAGTGGTTAAGTTTGCACACTCCGCTTTAGCGGCCCAGGGTTCGCAGGTTTGGATCCCTGGCACGGACCTACGCACCGCTCATCAAGCCATGCTGTGGCGGCATCCCACGTGTAAAAAATAGAGGAAGATGGGCACAGATGTTAGCTCAGGGCCAGTCTTCTCACCAAGAAAAAAAACGTGTAGTTTGTCAGTAGAAGTTTTTAAAAGCAGATTTCTCATCAGACTTAAAGCCAAAGCATGAGCCACATGCTGAAAACAGTCTTTGCTACTTGTTTATACAACGAAAGCCATCGTATAAAGAAGGGTTCTTTCACTTCTGAATTCACCACACGCTGAAATCCTATCAAGATGTGATTTTAATGTATTACCATGTTATCTTGGTGTTAAATGATTCCCTTGTTTATATTCCCTTGACAAAAGGTCACTTTAACAGTAATTATTCCATGTCATTGATACCTAATGAGACACCATTAGAAAATTCTGTTGTGCCAGGTAATTATATGGCTGTAACGTTTGCCCTGGGCGTCTTACTCTGCTTGGAACCAGATTTGCCAAGTCGTCCACCACTTCACTTGAAATTCTCAGGTCAAGTTTAAAAAAGATGTTTTGACACTCACTGCTTCTGGCTAGATCTCCAAAGTAATGAAGCAGGTAAAAAACAGAAGTTGATGAGGAAGAAAGTTTAATCGCCAGGAAGGAGCTTGGATTGACTTTTCTCTGTAAAGGTTATTTCCTCCATGAGTGTTAGTTACCGGGCAATGGGAAGATGCAGACAAACACCGGCGTCAGGCTCACTTTTTTTTTTAAACAAGCAGGGAAGTGAGAAAAGCACATGTTTTGTTTTAATAATCTGCTAAATACTGCAGCTAAATCTGCTAAATTACTGTTTGGGCTGTTACTCAATGCTCTGTTCATGTATAGGGGTTGAAACACGTCTGTCACAGACTGGTTCAGGTCACCCAGTACTGAGAACAGTGACGTTGAGTGGCCTTGCTCGGCGTCTCTCTGGCTGTTGCTGCCTGTTTCATGCCTTCGTTGCCTTGCCGGCAGATTAGATGCTTCAGTCTACCTGTGTCATAAAATCAGGTGATATTGAGGAAAATTGGCCATTCTGGAGCTAAGATGAGACAGCTGACCCAAGGAAATGTTTGCTGTGGGGGAAAATCTATTTAATTCAACATGTAAGATGGTAATTGTTTTATTTAATTTGAGCTTGAACTTTTCTCAATAAGCATTTGTTTACAAGTTAGTTCTGCTTATTTAAATCTTTTGTTCACTTAGAGGTCTTCCTGCTGTTCTTATTAATTTATATGCATTATTTACATAAATTTCCTATCTGCTTCCTTTTAAGTACGTGATTTTTAATTGTAGAGGAGATGTTTATATAGTTAAACACACACACCATTTTTTTTTTTTTTTCTGTTGATATTTCTTGTACCACTGCAAAGCTTAGGAAGTTATCTCCCTTATCAGGTCTAGGGATCATGGTCATGGTTTGCTTCACAGGATGAATGGATGACTTTCAGTCATTTTCTGTGACACAGGAGAGTTTACATGACATGACTTTATGTTGGGTTGACTATATATTGGGGCGAGAGTAGGCACCCAGGAACTATTTGTTGAACACAGACTGTTGAAGGAGTGGAATGCACCTCAAAAATCTGAAATAATTTACCAGCACATTCATCATATCCTGATGTCTTTTAGGGGAGCAGAAAATATGTGTTTTAAATATGAGAAAATACAGGAATTTCTTTTTATTATTGTTGATTTAGGTTTTCTATTTCTTCTGTCAATTTTGGAAATTTAGATTTTTACAGGAAAAATGAGTTTTTCCAACATATTACTATGCAATTGTGCAGAGTACTCCCTGAATTCTGAACCTGTTGTTTTTGGTAATGTATGCTCCTTCTCATTTCTAACAATATTTATGAGATTTTTTTTTCTTACTTCATTTATTTTTCTAGGAGTTTGCTGTTTTTTCGTTCTGTTTGACTTTTCCAGAGAAACAGCTCGTGGATTTAACAATTCTTATTCAATTTTTATTCTCGATTTTATCTTGCTGCTTTTTCTCGTAGTTTCTTTGAGGGTTTGTTTCATTTTCCTTGAATCTTAATTGCCTGCTTAGGTAATTTATTTTCACTTTTGATGATACAGACATTTCTAGCCTGGGGGCTTCGGGATGTGTGTGGCCCTCCTCAAATTATATGCAAAATTCTTTATGTGTATTCATTTTTCTAGGGACAGGGTCTTTGTATCAGATTCTCAGAGGTGTCTGACCCTAAAAGGGATAAAAATTACTGATGTGGGACTATGTTAAAGTTGATTGCATCCTACAAGTTTTGATGTTTAATGTTTTCATTTTTATTTTTAGACTTAGTTCTTTATTTCTTTTTTGATCTGCCTTTTTTTTAATAAAAGAAAGTTCTCTTTGGATTTAAAGTCTCTCGTAATATAATTTCTTTTACTACACTGTAATCTAGTAATGATTGGTTTTTGCAAACATTCCCTGAAGCCTTCAAAACAAGGTATGTCTTATTTCTCAGGCAGTGCTGTCCTATAGGAATATAATGTAAGCCATAACTGTAATTTTATATTTTTCAGTAGCCACATTAAAAAAGTAAAAAGAAACAGGTGAAATTAATTTTAATAATATATTTTATTGAACCCAATATGTCCAAATTTTTATTATATTTCAACATGAAATAATAGAAAAATTATCAGAGAAACTTAGCATTCTTATTTTTGCAGTGTAAGTCTTCAAAATCCAGTATTTTATGTTTACAGCACACTAAATTTGGATGCTAAGTTTTCAGTGGTTAAAGTGAAATATAGTTCTACCAAAACAATAAAGTAGGATTTAACAAAAAAAATGTTTTACGCTGCTTCAGTGTTTAAATTTAAATTTTAATTAAGTAAAATTTGAAAATTCATTCCTCAGCCACGCTCATCACATTTCAAAGTGCTCAATAGCCACACAGCTATTGGATGGTGCAGCATTATGGTGTAAGATCTGAAATCGATTGCTTCTGTCCTGAGTATATTTTCCTTATTTTCTACGCCCTTGTCTGGACCTCAAGCCTAGATAGTAGGAGTTAAAATTTCCCGCTGCAATCTTGCGCTGTCCGTTTTTCTTTTGTATCACATTATAGGTGCATAAAGGTTTATAATAGATCTCTATTATATAATTTATCTCTGTATAATGACCCTTTATTCTGTATAATACTTTTTGCTTTACATTATCCTTTAATACTAATATTACCACCCATATTTCCTTTGATTAGGATTCCAGTGTTATATCTTTGACCATTTTTTTTCAACCTTTGTCATTTTGTGTTAGGTGTTCTTCATACAAGTTGTTGCATTTTATTTCTCAATAGAGTAATTTCATTTCAATAGGGTAATTGTTACCGTTTACACTTCCTGTTCTGTGTTACACTTTGACTTGTCAGCCGATTCTTGTAAATGCACGTATGTATTTATTCGCTTCCTTTTACTTCTCAGT